TCAATGGATAAGGAGGGCATAAAGGAACCAGTCCATTTCAGGGATACAAAAATATTTTCGCCGAGGGTAAATTTGTGGGTATTTTTTGGAAATGACTTTACTCCAAGACTTTTCTTAGGAATGAGGCGAAATGTTTGGGCTTCTTCACGTGCAGATCTTCTGCACCTCAAGCATGTCGCATGTTACGAGAACGGCGCGTCCAAATGTGACGCGTTACAGCCTATTTCTAGCAGCAAGATGAAAACTCCCAACCATCACGACTCTTTTCAAGCGATGAGGGGGTGCTTCTGCTCAAGGTGGATACCGGTACATAAAAGTGCTTACTGAAATTATGACAATTGGACTTGACGAGAGACGATTATTATTCAGGGTGATTGTACATGCATACCGAGTTTCAGGAAGACCACATTCTAAGGAGAGGGGTGGAATCTGCCCCCTCCCATTTCCAGGCAGTGAAATTATGGTCTGATAAAACCCGTCTCTTACAGTGTATTTAAACAACCAGAATTAGAAACCATTACTGCTGTGGCATGGGGCTCGTGGACAGGTGGTACGCGCGCGTTATATACCTCTTCGACCAATAGGGTGTCGCGATTTGCTAAATGCACGCGCGCGTCCAGCAGAAGAATGCGCGTGTGAGCACGGTGCTACCCCGGCTATGGCGTCTAATCAGATTAGTCTATAGCTTAGGGTTTTAAAAAATGCTATTCATTTCTGGATTATTTTCATCACCATTTAGTCTTTTTATTGATGTTCAAAATTTAGTGTAATACTGGCTCTGCCTGCAAGGCGCCATCGGTGATCTGGGTAGAGAGAATTTACGTCGAAATTTCTGAATTTTGCAACAAGTTCCCCATTTCCGCATTCTCTTAACTGTTTTAAACAAGATTTTGAGTCTATGCGTCTTCCATCTGCCTGTGAAACTGAAAGAAGAATATGCCAGAATTGAAATTGAAAGCCCAATTGAAACTCGTGGCACAACAGTGTCACAATCGGTGATCGGTATTAATCTGTTTCGTCTTCTCAAATGGCAAAGTTGAATGCAGCGCGTTGTAGAGATGGGTCGAAGACCGATTAAAATGAAGACTGCAGATATCTGACAAACGGAAACACTGAGCTCCGCATAAATAACTTCCTCCATTAAGACGCATTAATCGCACTCGCTGAAGGATCGGGTTGTCGGCCGGAATTCCAAGCCCCGGTCGGGGGTGCGACTCTCCAGCAATTTTAATGGAGTGCCTTCGATTATGAGCGTCCCGCCTGCCCGCCCAGCACGGACGCGCAGCGCGCTAAGTGCCGGGCGGAGCTGTCCCGCCGGTGCGCACTGTTGGCGTGGTCTACGGCATTCATTGGAAACTGTTTGTACAAGCGGAGACCATCAAGGCCAACTTTATAACATTGCTTTATCTCTGAGCCTATTTGCATGATCTTGCACCAAGAAGTAAAAGTCACGAGATGCATTCAATAAGCCCTTTTTCGAGTTAAATTTGAATGAAATCTGGTACACTGAGTTTATCTGATTCCATATAAACGTAACAATTTGAATTCCCCAGACTAAAGACACTGTTGCCCTACCTCGTGATTCGGGGCAAGCTTTAGCATTGCGACCCCCATCTCTGGGATGGACTGGTTCCTTTGTGCCCCTCTTATCCATTAATTAAAAACAGTTTTTTAATGTAAAGGCTTGCCCGAATCTCCAGGTGTAGCAACAGTGTATTTAGTATGGAGATTTCAAATTATGTTCACGTGAATAAAAAGAAGTCAGTGTTCCAGATTTTATTCAAATTTAACTCGCAAAAGGCTTATTTACCGATGTCAAATAGAAGTCTTCTGTGCCAATGTTGGCCCTAGCAACTTGCGCATGTACTAGTTATTTCCTTCCGCTAATCTGTAAAAAAAGTGCTTAACACTTTATCCATCATTACTTTTTCAAAATGTAGTGTCTCCGTTCTTATGCTATGTCCTGCCGCTGTGTTTTTCTGTGATTTTTGTTTCAATTTACCTGAATCTGGTTGATTTTATTCGTCCGTCGAAGTGAACAGTGCGCGGCTTGCCAGCGATGATCGTTCAGACAGAACTAGCTGGACCCCAATATGCTAAATCCTCTAGCGATCACTTACTGACACTGCGTGATTGCTGGGTCAAAGACAAGTCGATAAGTACTTTCTAACAAGCTAAACGATGTGGCTGTTCCCAACCATCATTTCAGATTGGTTATATCGCCCGCACCAGCTTTTTTGTCGTCCTTGCTGATCAGCAAACCACAATGACATCAGCAATTCCATCTTCCTCTCTGGGACACTTTTTTTGAACGCAACTATCTCTGCGTGAGAGAGCGATTGTTTTTTTTTCACCGCGCGCTCCCGATGTTTTTTTCTTCCCTCGGTAAGAGGGCGATAATTTGACCCAGCCTTCACGATGCGGGTCGCCCGAGACAATCTGGCCTTCACCTCGGGAAGGGGTCGAGCCGGGCCGGCCTGGGCTGGGCGAGAGAAGACAGCGGGACGAGCTTGTCGTGCAGGTAATCCGCGCATGTGCCAACGGCAGCTTACATTCGGCTTTCAAAAGCTACAGCACCGATGGCGAAAGGGCTTTCTCCGCAAGGCGAGAAATCTGCACGACAAACAACAAATGTATTGACACCTAAACACACAAAGCTGGTCTTTATGTTCTTATCCCTGTATCGTTCCTATTATGCTCAAAACAATTCCAGAAATTTTCAATAATTTTTTTTTGGAGGGGCTTCAAGTTTAAAGTTTTCATTTTCAGTGATGTAATTTATTACCAAACACTTACTCAAGTAAATTTTTCAAAAGCGAAATTGAATGAATTGACTGCTCAGAGTTATCAAATACAAATCAGGCAAATAAAGGAACAGAAACAAGCATGTTAAAAATAAAACAAACAACCCAAAAAAAACCCCACTAACTGTGGAAACAAAAGAGTAGAAAAAGACACAATAAAACAACAACGAAGACAAAATAAAACAAAGACCCCCTGGAATAAACAAACAAAACCGGAAAAAATCAGTCTGTTTTTTTTGGGGGGGGGCAGAATGAGTTTTTCATATAGGAAAAGGGGTCCCTAAAATCATTTAATTTTCACAAACAAGCTAAACGCATGGTGCATGTTCCAGTAACAAGTTTGTCGGCTGCATCAAGAAATAAGTGTTAGGGAGTTTTGATTGAAGTAGCCATCACTAAAACATAAAAACCACATACAAATGTCAAATAAAAGAAAATGTTCTTTTTTGGGGGAGATCACACTACAGTAACAACAAGGCACGCCATAAGATATTTGATAACGATAACTACATCAACATCAAATCATAAAATGTTCCATGGTTCGGTTTTGACAACAGAAACAAACAAGAAAACAAATATTTTTAAAAGATAGCTCATAATAAATGATAGCTCATAATAAATTTGACTGACCTAACGGTCAGTCAAATTTATGAGTTATGAGTCTTACGGTGGGAAGCGTTTCATAGCTGTCGTAAATAAACGTCTGCACACTAAACAGGACGTGCAGCAATGGGTCGTTTTTGGCTGTTTTTAATTAAAGTACATTCCATCGACTGGAGTGATTAGGGGAACTTTGTTGGACAGAGTTTATAGAAGTGTGGTTCATATCCAAAGGAATTGACGAGTTAAGTTGACATAGTGACAGTGCGCTGTGGAGTGGCTAGACGTGCTTCCGACAACCCCTCCTAGGTTCGTTAATAATCGGAGGTGTTACACAAGGGTCCCTTAACTGGGTACAGAATGGCTCAGATTCGAACCAAATGTTCCATTACACACTTCTACAAGAAACTGTCGACCTTCTTCAAAAATAAACCTGTTCGGGTCACCAGCACTCTGGTAGGCCGACATTATCCTGATGGTTCACCCGGGACATCGTTTCCCCTTGTAAAGGCCTCGGCAGAGAGCGCGCCCTGCACGCGTCGCCACCCGTCAGCGGGATCGCGGACCGCAAAGCCGCCCGGGCCTGTCGCGCTGTTTTTCCCCCGGTGGTCCGGCCGTCAACTCACGGTGGATGGAGCAGTCAGCGTGCGGCCGGACTTTTTTTTTGGGGGGGGAGGGGGGCGGCTTTTCTCTCTCTCCTCAGTAGCAGATCGGTAGCGGGCTGCACTTATTGTTTTTTAATGGCCCTGGGACGGTCCAGACGAGAATCGCTCCTGACAATAATGCGTTTTGAGGGAGCCAGCAAACCTGTTTGGGGTCCAGCTTGTATAAATATTTTTTTGGGGGAGCTGACTGTGTTTCTGACAAGCGGAAACGATGTGAATGTTGTTTATAACACAGACAATTTTGTCAGTTAATTCGGTCCAACTGTTACGCCGATGCCACGAGACAGGCAAGGGCGGCAGCAAGGTGCAAGTTCGTGGTGCATAAATAGTTACGCAAAATAAACAAGTCACAGAGTTTGAAGGTCAAAACACTAACCGATTCCACCTTGATAGATCCAACTCTGCTAACTCTTCTTGTTTAAATCGTTTATCGCTTTACTTTTATTTTCACAGTGGTGTTGCTATAGTCCTTGTTCATGTTGAATTGAAAAAAAATGTTTTTAGAAATAAATGAATTAAAGTTAACAGTTATTCTCGTATTGAAGTGTGCGCTCTTTTTCTGAATGTTCTTGGTTTGCAGAGAGTGAAACAAATGACAGATTTTATAAGTTTTGAACACGAACAAAAATCATTTGTCCATGAAGTTATTGTTCCTATCAGTCGCTTGCTAGTAATTCTATAATTGATGAAAGCATATGATTTTGGTGTTTCCGTGCTCCTTGTAGATCCCCTTCAACACCACTTCACCCCAAGTGCTTACCACAGTCACCACCACCCTGCAATCGGCAGCACCGGGGGTGTCTACGGCTCAGCGCCCGGCCACCACCACCACCACACCCCGCTCTCGCACGCCGCCGCCCTCAGCGTGCCCGTGCCAGTGCCGGTATACCTGCGGGGCAAATCCCCCGGCGGCTCGCCGCACGACCCGTCGGCCGGCCCCGGTGGCGCCGCCGCCGGCGGCCTGGCTGGCGCCGCTGGCCGCTCGGCCAAGAAGTGTCGGCGGAGCCGCACCGTCTTCACCGAGCTGCAGCTGATGGGGCTGGAGAAGCGCTTCGAGCGGCAGAAGTACCTGTCCACGCCTGACCGGCTGGAGCTGGCGGACACCCTTGGACTGAGTCAGTTACAGGTCAAGACGTGGTATCAGAACCGCCGGATGAAATGGAAAAAGCAGGTAAGGATTAACCCCAAGATGCATTCGAATACTCGCTTCCCGTGCTGATAAAAGTGTTGACGTCTATTAGCAAATTGTATTGAAACAGCACAAGGTTATCCAATAAGGACTTTAGGCATTTTGTGCCTGGGACCCACCAATGGAATTGATGACCTACGAAAATCCCACAGTCTGTCATTAAAGTTCACTACTCGTGACAACACCAACAACCACGAACAAGGTTAAATAACGCTCAATGTCTCTCGTTGGACTTTTGATACAAATTCTGTCCTAGAACTTCTAATCAAAATGAAATAGAATGCCCCAACACACACGACTCTATGAAATTGGTGTGTCTCGGCCCGGTGTCCACGGAGTACCGGGGGGGGGGTCTATGTTCCAGTACAAGTGCTCTGTGTATACGCTGTTGTATGTACAAACGCAAATTCAAGTCATGTATCCGCCTTGAGCAGAATCACCCCCTCATCTGTTGAAAAGAGCCATGTTGGTCGGGAGTGTTCATAACTGTTGGTAGCGAGGCGATGCAAGTCCGCAAAGTGCTGTTCCTACCAAACGAGCCTCCGTTGCGGGGAAAATTGTGCCTTCTCTTGGTCCAGCTCTGGGCTCACGGTGAAAGGCTTGGAACCAAAAGCCCTTTTGTTTCAGGGCTTATCTGTTTTTTTTTTTTTTTTGATTTTTTTTTTTTTGATTTCACCCCTTCAGATTTTGTACATCATCAAGAACCTGTTTCCAATTTGTGTCTTTGATTTTTGCGCCCGGCAGGTTCTTCAAGGCGGCAGCCAGGAAGCGCCCACCAAGCCCAAAGGTCGGCCTAAAAAGACCGACTTCCAGGACCACGTGACGTCACCCTCCATGACGTCGCCGCCTGCGTCACCACCTGCCTCGCCCACGTCATCTTGCTGTAGCGAATCACCGAGCGACCTGTCCCATGGTGCGCACGCGCAGGTCGAATGTGCACTCACGCCATTGGCGGACTAGTAAAAATATTAGGCCTAACAGGAGCGGATAGATCGAAGTCTGTACTACGAACAATTACAGAGTTGTTTGTTTCATAAAAGCCTCCTTAACTGGGGCACAATTTCCTCTTCTTCGTTCAGAGAAACACTTGGCAACCCTAATTTAGAGGAGGTGAGATTGTCTCATTCGTGCAGAGTTCTCAAACCGCATACCTCAGGGAAATGTGAAACGTTCCCCCAAAGGAAGGTACATTCTTTGATATTTCAGATGAGTTTTCTCGGAACGTTCATATTTCTGTTGAGTTTTCTCGGAACGATAACCAGTGACTGGGCACACTCTCAGCTGTTCCAGACGGAAAACGTTCCAGATGATTGCTGGCATGTCTGTCCCTACACGTGTAAGCTTTTATGCAAAACAGAGAGTGCGAAAAAGACGGATTTCAATATCGAGAAGAACATTATTGCATTCTTATGTACATCAACCAGTTTCGATGATCTCATTTGTCACTACGGCAGTTTGGATTTGATTTTCTTCTGTACACTACGTACATAAAATCCTCCGTATCATTTGCCATGCTTGGGTTATTTTCTTTTTCGTATTTTGTCTTCTTTATAGCACTCAGCAATTGTAAATATTTTAAATGTATAAATTATGAATAAGTTTTGATATGTGGTAATAATGATTGCAAATGTTTGTAAAACACCCATTCCCCCAAACTTAGCAGGTATTACATCATAAGGAAACTTCATACACAGCCATTAAAAACCAGGCGTAAGTAGAAATTAAGGGTGTGCTTTAGAATTAACCCTAAAACGCCCAGAGGAACCCCCATTCTCGAAATTCTGTCCGATTTCATCACAGTGGCTTCTTCTGACAAGAACATTTTTTGTTAATTTCTGGTAATCATTTTGACGTCTTTTTTCTGAGACTGGACACTTGGTGAAAATGTCCATTTTAAAGGCAGTCACCTGAAGCTTTTTACCTTTTCCATTCAGTTCAATTCACTGTAGTGAAGTTCGACCACCAGAAATAGAAGCCATTACTGCGGCAGGCACGACGCTCGTGGACAGATGGTACGCGCGCGTTTTACACGCCTCTTTGACCAATAGGGTGTCGTGATTTGCCAAGTGCACGCGCGCGTCAAGTTGAGGAATGTGCGTGTGAGCGCAGTGCCGCCGCAGTTGGGGCGTCTAGTCGGATCAGTCTATGAGAATAAATGCCTATGTGGTGGCTGACTGAACGGAAACTTCACACATGTACCCAACACAATTATGTACCGTATTCTTGTGTTTAACTTCAAGATTGAAAGAAAACATTAATTTGGCATTGGACCACCGAGATTTCGAATGGAGACAAACTCTCCCCCGGGAATGGTAAAAACACCGGCTTTAGGGGGAATTATTAAAATGATAAACCAGAGAAATACACGTTGCAATTACGGATCAAATAACAATTTCAAGGGCCAAGTTTGCCGCCCCCCCCCCATTGGAAGTTTCTCTTGTAGCCTTTTATAACATTTCTGATGAATTAGGGTACATTTTCGTTTTCATTACATATACTTTTGAGTGATAGGGAAACGAAATAAGGCAAAAATTTGGTTTTGATTTATGTTCCATTTTATCTGCCGGGGGGGTCCCATATTGCCCCTCTCTCCTGGATCTGACCTTGGTACGCTGACGCTGTATCACATATTACGGGCGCTTCACAGTACTGCGCCTTCAAGAGTTTGCAGTGTGTTGGCCAATCAAAACGCGCAAAATTTGTCGACCCTTTCCAAATGCGTACTGGGTCGACAGATTTCGCGCACTGTGATTGGCCAACGCTATGCAAACTCTTGGAGGCGCACTGTTGTGAAACGTCCGTATTATGTCCGGTATTAAATTTCACCGGTTACATTCAGAAGGTAACCCAACACCGTCGAGCCAGTTAGAAGAAAAGTATTTTCTTAATTAAAAACTCTCCAGCTTTTGTGTGAAACTCGGAGGTTGGAGCCCAATATTTGTTGTTTTTCTGGTGTGTACAGTTTATGCAAACTGGGAGAACCAACAGCCGTAACCAAATTCTGGATATTTTCTTTGTCGTCTTTGACTTTTTGCCATAAATAAAGTTCTGCATGCTGATTTGAGTTTGTTTTACAAACCTGATGCGGACGTATAACAAAACCAGTCGATGGTTTCAAAGACTTGCGTGGACTTCCAAGCCCATACAGTGTTTTAACTCTATAAACTTCGGTTTTGGATGCAACCTTAGGTTAGAATTTATATTTAGTCGCAAAACAAAGGGGGACAGTCATATTATCAACAAAAAAAATCAACTTGACGGAAAAATTATTACTGTGGACGTAAAAAGAGTAAAATTGCCCACTCGGAGTTGCTTAACTCTCAGCAACGAAGGAATGCCCGCATAATATGTCTCGAGCTGGGACAAGAGAGAGCTCTATTTTCTCAAGAAATGCATTCTTCACGCTCCCATCGCTGCCAACAAGATGACCACCCTCAACCAACGCGACTCTTTTCAACCGATAGGGGGCGCTTCTGCTCGAGGCAGATAGGGCATGTAAAAACAATATGTGAGCTTTTTCAAGAGATATCGAATTCAAACCCTGTTGCGTGTTTTAGGGGACTGGCTGTTCAGAATTTGGAAAATGTGCCAGCAATTGAACCGATTCAAAGTACTCTCTTTGCCCGCCTCTGCTGTGCTCTAAGCTCGGTCCTTTCACCAGATCTGCCTCCACTGGTTGTATTTTAAAACACACGGAGGGGGGAATTGAAAAAGGTGCTCTTCGACACCGGCAGACAATGGACCTTGCTTCGTGACCCAACGCACAGAAGTGTGTCAAGCGCCCCTCTATTAGATTAACCTTAAGCTGTGGACTTATTGCTTGGCCAAATCGAATTATTTGTCCACGGCCGTAACGACTGTGTGATGCCTTTTGTGTGTGGCACATATACCACCTTCTCTTTAATATAAAAAAAAAATCATAACATCCTGCCGTCGCGATTCACGTTTTACCACTGCGTAAGTAAACAACTTTTTCGCACATCACTTGAGTGTCTTTGTTGGGAAGAAGCATGAAGCTGGCGTGATATGAAAACCCTCTGCCCTCTTCGAGCTATGGGTGTATTGGACATGAGAGTCATTGGATCACTTCTGATGTCAATAGAACCTTGGCGTGGAGCCATCTTGCAGGGCCGTTCTTTTGTTCCACAGCGAAACCTCCTTTTGCATATCCTGTGAAACAAAGGCACTGGCCTGCAAGATGGCAGTCAAGCAAACCCTTTATACCACCGAATGATAAATCTTTTCACATTTTCTCTTCGCTGTGGTAATAGTGTGTCCGCGAGGGATGTTTCCGTTGGTTTATATATTCCAGAGCTGCACTGCAGAGTCCATGAAAAATTCTTCCCTAATACAGATATGACAACAACCCATGATAGGACAGCGTACAGGGGAAAAGACATGTCCTTTTCTATTGATTCGATTTCAATCAGAGGCGATTTGAACCGATTCGACTCAACTCGAACCTGGAAGACTTGAGAATTTAGAATCAAACTGAAATTCTCATGTTGGCACTCAAACGTATACCCGCAATTAATCATTGCAATATTTATATTACATCACCAGGCCTAACAATTCCAAATATGAAACTTGACGTCAACTTCCGACTTCCATTCCTGTGAGTAAATGCCTGCTTATTTATTAAAAACAATAAACTTCAACATTTATTATTCTCGCCGGTATAGTGATTTTTGAGCTTTGTGGTCTTTGTAGAAAACAAAAGGCTCTTTGGGATTTTACTCTGAGGAATACCATTTTTAGAACATGACTCGTTTTAACACAATGTGGGGAAGGCCATAAAGAACTTTGACTTTATTAACGTATTAAAGTGTGTCGTTATCCTGTTACCATCAAACCCTCCCTTAAACGACGCTGACAATCTTTAAGTATCGTCCACAATGGCTCCAAGGTAGACGGGGCTTGGCTTACAAATCTTCCCCCGTTATGACATTTGGAGCAATCTAGAGCACTCGCCTCGTGTTTGTTTGCCAAATTACACAGCATCTACTAAATCTATGAAATGAATATGGAGGGCAAATTAGGCAGTGACACTTCACGTTTAGGTCTTTGCTGTTCTTCCATCGCGGCCGAGTCAGTTCGCATATCGCCGGCCGCGCTGACGGGAACATCACCCGACCTCGGTGAGCCCCACGGTGCGGGATTCTAGCCCGAACGTTTTACAATTTCCCTTTCGCGTTGTTGCGAATTGGTCCAAGGCGAAGTCGTCAATTTTTTGCCCTCCCTTCTCGGCCCGACCCAGTCGGAATTCCAGGTCATGACGAGCAGCGGTGATGCTTAGAATCAAGCCCCGCGTAATTACTGTCCGGCTGACATGAGACACGCATGCTCTTGCCCGTCAACGTCAAACACCCCGGTCAAGGGTATGATGCATTCATTGTGACCGAAATACTTTCGACAGGAAAAAGCATATCCACGCCTCTCCATTCTGGGAGAAGTACATTTGTACTCCTGCTTGTTCTGAGAAACCTGTTAATTCACTTTCAAGCACACGCCTGGGCCAAACATTACAAGAACTACACGATCATTTCACAAACACCCTTTCAATAGTCTTGCTCACTTCCATGGTCACTGTTCTCCATTTAGGCCCATCAGACAGAGCAAAACGTCACAGATGTTCAGTCCAGCCGGTCACACATCGATTCTTGGTTCTAGGTAAAAAAAAAACAAAAAAAAAAAACAAAAAAACACGGCTTTGGGTCTGGTAGACTTAATTTCAAAAGCTTAGGTTTCGGAATGGATAACTGCAGTGCTTGAATATCAACTAACGTTGGGCCTCCCAGTCAAATGGCCATGTTTCCCGGTCAAAACTGAAGAGGTTGCCGGCAGCTTTGATCGATGACGTAATAAGCGCATGTTCCTGAGGAGCACCTGGAATTGTCGACCTGGGCACTTTCCACTGCACACCAGCAGGACGTGATGGGTACAGCCGCAGACTCTGTCGACGCTTTTCAACATTTTCTACAGGTGTGGGGAGAGCATTTAGAGATCTATCCCCAAAGGCCGATTTCCTTCGCCTGTTCATTTTTACTTTAATGCAACAATATGATTACTCCCTTTCTGTTACGATTTCCAGCGTCTACAAATCCCCAATTTATTAAAACCTGAAGCATAAAACACTAATTACATTGAAATCCTTGAGCCTTTGATCCTTAACCCCACTCCCCAGTCTTCATGGCCCCAACTTTGATTGTGTGAGAACTTTCACACGTTGGCATTATCTGAAACGAAATTAAAGAAATTGAAGAGAGATTTCGCATAAAAGCTTCAATCCCTGCGCAACAGAGTAATATACAATCTTTAAAGAAGAAGCTCCGGACTTGAGTTTGCTTCTCTCCACCATCATTATTTTTTCTCCAAACTCTGAGAGTTACAAAAAAAGTGGGTCAACCACGACAGCTGCACAAACACATTTTCCAAACCACCAACCAGAAACAGCAACAAATTAGGCACGGGAAAACGAGGCTCGGAGGGGAAAGAAAAAAAAAGGGGAAGAGAGCAGTTGTCAACGATCCCAGAGAAAGGCCAGGCTCTCGCGCTCAGGATCCGGTGTCGGGTAGGGAAAACAAGCCAACAGCTGAAACGGTTCCGGCCGCTGACAGGCGCGGTAACACTGCTCGCAACAGGTTCGCGGGGGTCGAGGTTGGCCGGGCCGACGGTTGTTGCGTGTCCGAATGTCGAACGGCTGTGAACTCGGCTGGGAACTCTGTCTCTTCAGAGACAGTTCGAGGGCCAGTGGCCCACTCTTTTTCAACTGAGGGGGGCATGCCCCGTCCCTAATTTTTGACAATAAATGTTGATAATAAATGTACAATCCTTGGTCGGTTTTTTCGACTACAAAACTGAAATAAAGTAAAATATGACACTCAATTGACATGACAAACTCGAGCTTGAAAAAAACTACTCATCAACCTTTTTCTATAAATGCCTCGAAAGTTTGCCCTCTTAAAAGACATATCACGAAGTTTACTAACCGCGGTTAAGGTCATTAGTGGTCACTTACAGTGTGGTCACTTGCGCTATTTCGTCCAGCTTTTGGTCGCGAGGGTCAAATTCAAAAGCGAATGCGGTTTTGTACTCTTTCAACATGATGTTGAGGAGAAAAATAATCAAAAGCCTTACGGTCCCGACATCTTTTTTTCCCGTGTTGTTGTTGTCTACGGCTTTTGGTGCTAATATTTGATAAAATAATAGTAATAATAATTGAAAAAATTATAATGCGCCGTTTCCATAAAAAAATGATCAACGGCGCAGTACAAGGTAACGTAAAAATTAAGTAATTTAAGAAATGAAAGGATAAGGATAAATGAATAAGGATAAACGAATGAATGTCACCGCGCTAGTACCCAAACCGCAGTATGGGGATACGTCTGCCCTGCCAACAGGGAGAACCTAACCCTGCTGGCATCGGTGATGTCTCGATCTTTCCCGGGGACAGACGCCTCTAACCCTACCTACGTTAAAAGAAAAGTAATTATATTAGACACAGTATACTGATTACTTTCTTTCCTACTCACCTATGAAGTAATTAAACAAAAAGTGGGGGAAGGTTACCTCCTGCGTCGCTCCCCCCCCCCATATGCCACTGAGCCCAGAGGTTCCGCCTGTTTACATGCCGAAGCAAAGAACACGTGTGAGTTGACAATAATACCTACAATTTTAGGTCAAATTACACACGGTGGATAGCGCCACCAGCTGATCGCTTTTTCCTCTTGCGCACGGGCGGCGCTGACCGTCAGACCACGCAACAGCCGTTGTGTCCCCCTACCGCCAACGAAGCCCTCTTCCTATAGTGATTGGCTCGGCTCGAGTGTCTCACACTCAGCCAATTGGTGACTAATTCCCAATCAGCGCGGCACCTGAACGTGTCAGGACCAATCAGCGGACGGGCCGGGGTCGGGGCCAGTTCTCCGTGCCGCGGCCCGCAGGGCCGGCGGGGGGCCCGGCCGCGCTCATCTCAATTACCACCTTATCGAATTAAGGCGGTATTCTCCAATTGGAGCGGCGTCGCGGTCATTACTATTACAAGTTCATCAATAACAACGCTGGAACTGGCGGAAGCACTTAAACTCGCTGTTTTCCTCCAGAATTGAGCAGGCTCGTGTGTTTTGCAGATAGTCCCTGTGGTCAGCGCAGGCGTGGATCCTAGAATGAGGCGTGGATCCGAGGAGGTTTAAAAGTCAGTTCCCTCTCTTATTGCCATGGGGGGGGGGTACGTCTAAAAGTTACTATTATTTCATTTGCGTGTGCGGATACGGACAAAACAAAGAGATGAAATGGCTTCACCAACGGTAACAAGTCCGTGTAGTAACACCCTGTTCAAATAAAACTTTTCCGAAACCCTAAGAAAGAGGTCTTGGATCCGCCCCTAAAGCGGATTACTTGTGGATGTTCCAGCGATTTTGTTTGCGTGTGTGTGTCAGACCGATTACAAGGCAACCCCACGAGGCTGATCATGATAGCATTAAGACTGGTTATCCGCCTCGATCAGAAGCTCCCCCTCATCGGTTGAAAAGAGCCACGTTGGTCAGGAGTGTTAATTGTTGGTAGCGATGCGACCGTAAACGCGTGCATTTGAAACTCGTTCGTGAACCAGCGAACTTCAATTCCCACCAAAGGAGCTTCAGTAGCTAAAATAAAAACTGCACCCTCTCTTGGTCCGGCTCGAGGCTCATTGCAACACGCGCATGGTTTTAAGATTATCCTTAAAGCCATATGGTTGCATTTATTAGCAGTCCCACGAGCTAATTTAAATTGTTAATTGTACTAGATACTATTGAATGTATTCTACGTTTCATTTGCATAATCTAATAATGGATGGTAACGGGTCACAATCCTTCTGAGTAGGCCCCCAAATCTAAACGTGTTATGTAATGTGTAATGGTAATAGCACTATTCATGATAGTGGAATTATTCATGGTATGCAAATTAAAATACAATTCGGCATGGTGACTTCCGTAAGTGGATCACCACGCTTGAATAAAGGCCTTGCATCTTAATTAGTGATTTTACAGTCGATCGTATTTGGAATATGGTTAATAGGATAATTATCAATGTACGCAGGGCTTTAGGACATACCAAAAACCTGCTCATTACAGGGTCAATCCTGTATGAGCCAGAGGCAGAACTACCCAAACATCTTCTCCAATACTGTTGCAGTAAAAAAGGAAAAAAAATGTACTGAGCCGTCAAGCTGTTTTGCGGCAGTGATGTCTTGTAATCATTTTGGCGCCAATAGCTTACACAAATCGGACATGCCATTTTCATCTTATCAGAGACACTTCCTCCAAAATGTTAAGCTTATAAGTTGAAAGGTTGCGGGATCGTAGCACCATGCGAAGGAATGTATCTGTTATGAGTATGTGTGGTTCTGAAAAGAACCGGGATGATACTCAGAACCACACGTACTCATAAGAGATACATTCCTTCGCATGGTGTTACCGCAAGCCTTTCCACTTACTGCAGTCTTTCACCACGAATAGCCTGAAATTCCAATGTTAAGCTCCTTTTCTAGTTTTACTTACTCAGTGGTAGCAAGCAGAGACTTTCAACGCCTTCAACCTCGAGTGGCCAAAACAACAGAGGCTGTGTTTAGAATTGAAATCAAACGTCCCAGATATTCTTGCAATAAATAACCTCACTTGCATGAGAGGACCTATTTTTCCTGTATAGCTGCCATTGTAGAGTACAAAACAAACGGATAAGCAACAACGTACAGACAAAAGAACGAAAAACCCCACCACAACCAACAAACAGACAATAAACACCCCTACAACAAACAAATCAATAAACAACAAATCAATAAAAAATGGAGGGGGTTCATTTTGTAGGTACATTTGCATGTTCTTGTCTGGTCTGGATTAAGGTTGATTTATTTTTTTAGGTGGGGGTGGTTTAGTTATAAGCGTTAGTTGTCAGTGTAGTTTTGCGTGGATTGGATTGAAGACTCAACAAAATTGTTTTGACCCAGTCTGCATTTTTTCCCTACCCGGTCTTCAGAGCAACGAAGAATATTTAAACTGGTCCTTGTATCAGAATGATTCCAAATGGTATCTATTACAAAACGTTCCTTCCAGTTGACTGTAATGAACTCATCTTGATATTAATATGCGTGGATTGAAGATGGTCTGTTCTACTAGAGGGTTACATTATTCATGAAGGACAGGGCAGACACGTGTTTATGCATATAATGCATTTCTCCTCATTTTATTGTCGTCCAATGCTTGACAAAAAGCACCATTCGCCAGACCGTCTTAGGATACCATCGCTCTAGGCTGCTGGGCTTAAAGAAGGACTTGTACTCAGCCGGAAGTTTTCGTTTAAAAAACAAACAAACAAAACAAAACAAAACAAGGCCATCATGCTTAGGGTTTCCTTTTTGTGTTTGCTGTATTTGTTGCTCTTTGGAACAGCCGAGGCCAACTGGGGCGACGGAAGTCGGGATCCTGATCACTCGCACTTGGTAAGGAAAGTTGGAAATCTGTTTGCTGCCTTGAAAGCCTCGGGAACTGTATTTCAATAGTTGGCTAAAAGTGGTAGGCGATGCTAGTGGCAGAAAGATGGCAAAAACTTTACAAACTTTTGGGTTTTATGGACAATGAAATACAACTGGTGACAAGTCTACACATCAGTGATATTTTTAATTAAGCATCGATGGCCAACATGCAAACTTAATTTGCCTTTCTTTAATTGTGAGTTAAAGTTACAATATGATGCTGTCCCACGTGAACAAACAGAAGGATTATGAATCGTAGTTTCACAAACAGCCGTTTGATACTATTACAATTAAAAAAAAAACCATGATTTGTAACTTCAATATCGTCATATTGAAGTTACAAATCATGGTTTTTTTTTTTAATATTCTGAATAGTATCTACGGAGAATATCAACTCACATGACTCACAGGCTGGGCAAGTACGCGTACATAAGGTTTAGTTTTTAGAGGTTAGTTTGGTTTTGTTTCTGACATTTTCAGGGGTTCGTCGCGGTGAACATGATTTGTAACGACAACAGATCTGCCTGCGGCCATTGCTACTCTGCTCGTAGCCACGGTCTGGTGTATCTAAGTACGGTATACCCTCAGGAAGTTTTCCATAATGGACACCAGCTCTTTGTACGACTTGGAGGGCACGATTTCCAAACAATTAAGCTAGGGAACTAACGAAAGCACTTCTGACTGTTTTGAACAAGGTTCCACACGCAAACAATACCAGATAAATGTTGACTTCTTTGTAAATTGGACATCACTTTATTACAGGAGCTGAGTTTTTAATTAAGGGATACTTTATAAGCACTTTTCCAGTACTTTCTAATACATTTCAGTCTCCTATGCATGCACTACAAGACCGTATTTCTCTGCATACTGGACGTCCTAATTTTCCCGTTTAATTCATCGGTCAGCAGCGCAGTTTCTATCTTGTACTTCAAGAAACGCGAACATGTACACAATATTTCTATATTGGTATCCATTGGGCTTGTCAGGAACGTGATGCAGTTGATATTCTCCGTAGATACTATTCAGAATATTTGTTGATTTTTTTTTTCAGATGTGTTTGAGTACACTTCAGCGCCTTACCAATTTGAAGCGAGCATCCAAGACGGCGTCCAGGATTGGTACTGGACGTTCGTCCAAGGTAACTGCTTAAATTCGGGGTTATTTGAACGCAAGGATATTAAGACTGACGCATTTGTGGAAAGGCGTCTTGACCTACAGGAATTAAGCACTGGAATTCTTCATGCAAGCGTTCGTACGAGTGGACGTTAAGACCACACGATGCGTCTGATTATAGCTTTAAGTATCTGGTGCGCGGATCCAACGGTTCCCTGACGTACAGCGTGGGTAGCCTGAATTGACAAATACAGAAAACTTAGCAGTGGAAGATTTATGACGTTATGTCTGGAATAAATAGAGTGCGTGTCCTCTTAAGGTTTTGAGAATAACCACTTAAAAACGATACACAGTAGTAGAAATAATATCCAATCGAAACAAATCGAAAAAAGGACCAGTACATTAACAATAACAATCCGAAATCACCTGGTTCATCAAGCTATGGCCAGTTTTCGGATATTTTTTGAAAAGGATTGGAGTTCCAATTTTGTCATGGCAGATGCCAGACCTATTATACTAAATAGCTGGTATCTACTGGTCTGGGAACCAGATTTATGTGGGTAAGGGATACACGGGAGCGTTTGATTGGTCATCACGCTTCGCAAGCCGGTCTTGGATGCTGCCAACGGAGGGAGCAAGATGGCGGCTAATTTACATTGCCAAACATCATGAGGGTCATAACCTGTCGGAACCAATGTAAAAGTGGGGACACTTTACGTGTATTTTTTTTCCTGCGTCACCACTATCTACAATCATTCAAGAATCTATGTTGGAAAGTGTGGCAAACATGTTCCCGTTTTTACAGCCCGGAGTTGGCACTTTTGCATATTCCATGACAAGGGCATGGTTTTACAGAGCTCTTAAATAGAAAGCCAGAAACAGGTTAGTTAATTAAGTATTTCAAAAAGCACGGTCACTGAGAAACAAGGTACAATATGCGCCAGTCCACATAAGCTGCATTGATAGGGCAGATCTAGCACGTGCGTCCTAACGACCTCAGACGCGCTTCGTTTGGGGCATGCGCTGTTGGAAAATCGAACTGACACGTTAGTCAGGGGCGGGACATTATAATAAAACTAAGATGCACAGCATCTAGTCTGTTAAACCTGTTCGGCTGAACATTTTCTCTAGAGCTAAACAAGAGGTCTAGAAAAAGGCGTCGTCTGTAGTTATCTTGTTTCTGCCACTCTCCAGACGATCCATCGGAGCCCTTCCGTGTCTGCAAAGAAGTCCAGGTGTCCTCCACCCCAGAGCTGCCGCTGCCCATGCGCGCCGCCCTCTGCATGGACAACGACTTCAGCGCCCTCAGCGTGCCAGGGGATTGTTCCCATCCGGTGGTCACCGTCAGCATGGACACGCACTTCGCCAACGAGAAGATCAACGGTCTGCAAACACTTTACTGCTTACCCCAGCAGGCGTAGGCTGTTCAGCGACAGTGGCCTCTTACATGTGGGAAGCTCTTGGAATCCCGGTCTTTATAGCAATGGCATTAAAGTGCTGATAGATTTTCAACAAAGACTTCTTTCAACTCTCTACCACGCACTTTTCTCAACTTTTGGATACTCTTTGCTGTATTAAATCTAAATGAAAAAAACATTGAGGTGAAAGTATCGGAAAGTGCATTTTTATATTATATTTTACATTAATGATTTTCCCTGACTACTGAGGGCGCTATTGCTGGGAATGGACGACCATGTTCGTTTTAAATACGTTTTTCATGAAAGCTGTAAAACCAAGATTATTTAGCTCATAGAAAACATTCCTGTAAAGGGTTGTTCATTAGTTTATTGCTAGGTATCTACACAGCAACCAATCATCAAAGTAAGATAGTTCAGGCCAGCAACTTTGAAAAAGTACAGCAGGTTGCTTTCACAAAAAAATGCCATATTCTATTTTCACTGGTTCTTCTTGAAAGAAAGCGAAACAGCCGCAGACAACTTGTTTCTGCTATGTATCATCATTCAACAAATTGGGTGAAAACTGATTTGACAGGAGGTTACCTCATTTTGTTTATAGGTAGTGTGCCCTTGGACAAGGCACCTTGTCACTCATTGCCTCTCTCCACCCAGGAGTAATTGAATACCGGTACCCTGTGAGCTGGGGCAGAGATAGTTACTGTGGTTGATTCAGCCGTTTTGCGCCGAAAAGATCCTGAATGCTACAACGAGGCCTAGTGCCGCATTTAGTTCGACGTTCAGGTCGAAGGTCCTCTCCCCCTCCCGGCCCCTCTTTTTAATTAAACAGAGTCATGTTCCTACGTCATACACTTCGATCACACTCGAAGTCCCGTTTCTCTGTAAAATGAGAAACGGGTGCTTTCAAAGACCTCTTCAAGCTCGGTTTGGTTGCGATACTATTGTCATGTCGGCTTTTGATGACAACTTTCCCTTCGGCAGTGTTTGGTACATTATGAAGCCAGCCATGGGACAGAGAGACCCCCGCCTCTGTGTTGGTCATAGTTATACTGGTATCTCACGAATTCTTTTCAGACATTGGGGGGGGGGGGTTAAAGTGACAACAGGCTGGAGTGTGTATAGGGATTAGACTTGTTGGGGGGTATCCCTCTACCCATTTCGCGTCATGCCTGGTACAGTTTAGTTTGGGAATTTCCAGTGAAGCAAATCCGGGATCGATTCCTTGGAAATGGCGGCAGTGAATGCGAAACATCACCCAACAATCCCCTGACAGGCCCACTTTCTGTGCGCTTGAAGTTAATAACATCACAGAAGATCAGACTTACATAGTCACGGTTTGGATGTGAAAATAAACGTGGTTTTCAGGCTGGCTGCAAGACCAAGAAACGAACTCGGACTGGGCGCGGGAGCGATTGTGAACTTGGCTACGGGAATCGTGTCGGCGTTCGTGGCAGTTTGTAAGTTTTGTTGTTATTGTCGTTGATGTTTCCCTCTGCTTGATCAACCTTATCTTTGCTCTCTTGTCGAGGTGTCTGTCGGGGTGTTTTGTTATTTGTTTGGGGGTTGTTTTGGGGTGTTATTTGAAGGTGGGTTTTCATATGTTTTATGAGCTTTTTTGTCTCGTCTCTTGGGGAGCTAGGGGTGTTACTTCTGTTTGCTTCTTTTTGCTGTAGCGTTTGTTTCTTTATTTTATTTGTTGGGGTGATTCAAGGAGCTATGTTGCTTTTATTATTTTAACTAAAAGGGCCAAGGGTTGTGGTTCCACGTAGTTCCGAGCACGCACACGCAACTGGGGAAAACGGCCGGCTTGTCTGCTGCCACTAAGCGTCTCAAAGTCGCCCACTGGATTATGTGAAAAGCCTTCACACTAGACTAGACTTTTGGGGGCGGGGATGAAGCTGGCGAGGGAGGGGGGGGTATTTTTCTGGGGGTACCAAGTACACGTGACAGAAATAGGAGACTGTGAAAGTAGAGGCGTTTGACTTTTTTTTCACTTCTCTGTTTTGTCAAACGTTATAACAACGCTTTTCCTTTCACAGTGGGGCTGTTATTCGGCGGTGGCGTGATTTGGAAATGCCGCACGCGCAGAAAGAAGAAACTTGCCGGTGAGGATGGATCGCGACTCAAGTTTTGCTTTAAAAAACTGTAGTCTGTTTTAAAGGAGAACACTTCTTGGATTTCTTGGAGAGGAAACCGTTTAAATCAAATATATCAACTGTCAATTTTTTTTTAACATGAGAGCGTCCTGGCTAAATGTATCAGGGGAGGATTTTTTTTCCTTTTTAATTCATTTTCTTAAACGAATAGTTTGTTATACTGGGATCTAGGCCTACATCCATATGTATCATTAAAAAATGACTGGCATAATATCAATGGGTTCCAGCATGGTACCGGGATGTCGCAGGACACTTGCACTCAATGCGGTAACTTGGGCCGAATTTCCGGGGGTGGAGGTCAATGAGGGGGGCACACATTATTTTCAGGAGGGGGGGCACTGCTAGAGAATAAGTTGCAGCTGCACTACACCGGAGATTATTTAAAGATTTTAAATTATGCCACTACTTGCTCCGTGTTACCGTTTCAGCCAGTCAAAGCTTAACTTATATTAATCGCAATTATAGCGTTAAAGCAAGCCCCGGGTTTTTGCTCTACACAAGGGGGTTCTATACCCATTTTCTTGGTAGTGGGGTGGGGGGAGACAAAGTCGCCCTTGCACCCCGTAGATAGAACCGCGCCTGTTTTATAGACCTACACGTATCTGTGTGATAGTTCGACAGCGTCTGAATATTCACGAGTTTTTATTTTATTTAGATACGGACAACAACCAACAGTCTTCAGACCAGCACAACGGGGAGTCGGACGCAAGACTCGAACAGCAACTAACACCACCTACCGACGAATCGCAGCCCGTGTACGAAACATTAAACGGCGACTAGCTCGTTGCTAGCAACTTGGCTAATGTAGGGAATATTTCCGGACTGGCCTTGGACGTTAAAGACTGGCTCCGGAGAACGCACACGGATAACATCCCTCACCTTTGGCTGGAGCCACGGCCCACCACAAGCATCCATCCTCCCGAACTGGTCTGGAACGACGTCTAAGACCAACCAAGTACATATCAATTAAATACATTTATCTATGAAGTCAGGTCCCCCTTTTTCGACAAAGTTATCCCGATGAAGGCCCGTGTTGATGGCCTAGCTGCTCATGGAGATAAGCACGGTAGTCCATTCATTTCTCAGAAAGGACTCTACCAAAGGGACAGCTGCAAAGTCCAATCCTCCACGGGAAACCACAAGCTGCGAAAGAAAATACTGATAAATCGAGTTGTAAACCATTTCTGATATCATGTATAGCAACCAACCACCCTTCACAGTTCAAATTCATCGATTACCTACCTTGAAAAAATATTGAAACAAGACCAACACAAGACCTCTAGTCTGAGTTCAAGTCACAAGCTATTCAGCTGAACTGCAACAAAAGCATTCCTTTGCGACTGTTCACACTGTTACTTGCGACTAGTCTTGTGAAGTCTGGTGTGTGGTCTTCAGTCCGGTCTTGTGATGGTCTCGACTACCACAGTTACCTGGTCCCTAACGATAACTCGCCTGTATTTGAGTTAGTCATTAAGTCATAATTATACACCTGCAAACAAACCCTGTTCTATACGAAGCGGTACAAGTTCTGTAAAATACCTTTGATTACATGTATTTATTTTGGTAGTTTGTGGGACTGCATTTAAGTGCAAATTTGACGGAAAGGTGATGGGTTTTCGGTAGCACAATGTAAAATATTTCTCTTGTATGTGTGGTTCTGGTAAATTTGAAATACATGTATCTGGTAATAACTTTGTTGAACATTAAAACAAGAAGTCACGCACTTGCACACGACTCTGTGTATAAAGGGCACATGAAAGCCTACATGCTCAATGCACATGTACATGTATGGGGATGTGGGTGGACTTTGGTTATGGCTCTTGTTCATTTATTTTGTCAGTAATGTTTAGTCATGTCACATTATGTCTCTTTAAAGCACCCTGCAACACGTCACAATTCTTGAACATGAAATAATCTCAACACTGAATTCAACTTCAAAGGTTTCAAATTAACAACTTTCTAAACAACAGTAATTTATTCACAAATGGATTCGTGGAACACAACCTATGCGCTTGATGCTAAAAAGTAAATGGTGTTGGAAATAAAGGTATTGATGCATAGAGGCAATAATCGGATTACCATACATGGTAAGCCTAGACTGGGAAGCTGTCCACATAAGGTCGAGTCGGGGGCAGTAATAAGACTAAACACCAGTAGTCTTTAGGACTCTTCCGTAAAGGCTGGGAGACGTACACGTATAACACCGCGTCTGACTGGTTTGGCTGTGGCTAGATGTAATCAGTGCACCTACACGTATGGAGAATGCATGAAGCCACGACTACATGTGGCTTACACCTTACACACATTTGTGTACTTCTTGTTGCTGTAGGCAACAAAAGTGGACACCGCCTTCCTGTGTGGCAAACACAACGGCTATGTCTGAATGAACCGACTGTGGCTAAAATGTACACACAGTATACATGTACAATGTACATGTATGTGTCTTCAGCCACTACGCAATGAGTCAATGAGTTATGACTTGCAAAGCCACACACGTCATTTCCATCTCCACTTCTGTCATAGCCATACCGTGTACACGTAGCAAACGGTATTTACTTATGGTGGAAATAAAATCAAATGCCTAATTTATCCTTCCTTAACCCTAGCCCTGCCAGACACAGCATAGTGCAGCAGGTGTAAAAGTCTGACGTGCTTTGATGCCCTAGGCAATCGACAGCAGCCGGTGAAACTGGCGATGTCGAGACAATAGGAGCTAGTCCCGTGGAACAATGCCACTGCTGGATCTTGCGGTGTCTGGCAACCACAGACTCCTAGGCTGCTTGGCCTTGGGGAGAGTTGACCTGTTGGATCTTGTTACACTGGGCAGGGAAGTTACATGTACTTTGACAAGAGACACAGGCTAGGCCGATTTGTCTAGCAAGGTTTCTTGCCAAAATACTCCAGAAGGGTTAGGGTAAACAGTGTTCATCAATTAATTTACTGAAAACGAAGCCACTAAAGATTTCTCTTTAAATAAAAACCAGTCTTAAATACGAAACACATGCAATCATTTAAATTTTACTTTCTCAAATTGTTTTGCTCAAACTTTCAAGAAAAGAAAAATAACCTAAATCACACTTCAACGTGCAAACCGCCCAGAAGCACCACTATTAAAAGAGGGGTGCTGGGTGATCTGGCACAAATTTGGGCTTGGAACTGGCAGGCTTCAGCTGTCAGCTGTCGTTAAATGTACTTGGGCTCCGGGTGGTCAGACTTGACGTTGTAGCCGATGATACTCCGCCTCCCGATCTGCTCGCCCACGAAGAACCAGAACGCCACCTCCACGCAGACAAGGGTGTTACGGAATGCCTCCTGGTGATATATATTAAAAAAAAGATCAAGATGAGATGTGTAATGACAGTACGGTTGGTGCAGTGGGTTTTTCCTCTCCTTTCACCCCTGCGGCCACGGTTCGAATCCCACCAAGGTCAGCAACTCACCACGTGGATTGAGTTTTCAGTACCTGCCTGATTCCGTGGGTTTTTCCTGAAATATTTATCCAGGTTTCCCTCACTCTTCTAAAACTTAACATTTCTTCACTGTCTTCTCAACTGCCATTTCATTCTGTGATTGGTGTTAAATAAACTAAAATAAATTAATAGAAATACTCATAAATCAGTAAATAAAGATCATGTACATGATCCTGTAGTAAGGATGAGGCCCAGAGATTTGGATCTCTTACTCCTGAACATGCTGAATATACATGTACATGTGGGCAATTCCAGAAATTAGATGTACATGTAGGTGTCCATCTTTTTTCGTGAGCCCTTTTCACATCTGGCATGTGATTTTGTAATTTCAGAACACATTTTCTAATTTCCAAGAGTGATGAATTAATGAAAACTACCTGCCAAACAAATGCAGGGCAGCAATAATTTGAAATTGATTCCAATGACATTTAGATGTCAAATAACAAAGGTCAGATGTAACTGGGATGCCAACATGTCACACTTTTGGACGCCTAAATTCAGGATTTACCCATGTACAGTCGAACATACATGTACATGTACATGTAAGAAGAGCACTGTTACATATTATACAAGGTCATATTTACCGGTACACATGTTTAACAAGGACAATTTTAGGTCCCAATTCTTTGTTCGTCTTTGTTTTCCATTACTGATAACATACATGTAAGGTACAATGTACATGTACTGTAACTACATGTACATGTATCAAAACTACTGTAACTACATGTACATGTATCAAAACTACTGTAACTACATGTACATGTACATGTATCAAAACTACTGTAACTACATGTACATGTATCAAAACTACTGTAACTACATGTACATGTATCAAAACTACTGTAACTACATGTACATGTATCAAAACTACTGTAACTACATGTACATGAATCAAAACTACTGTAACTACATGTACATGTACATGTACATGTATCAAAACTACTGTAACTACATGTACATGTATCAAAACTACTGTAACTTCATGTACATGTATCAAAACTACTGTAACTACATGTACATGTATCAAAACTACTGTAACTACATGTACATGTATCAAAACTACTGTAACTAGATGTACATGTATCAAAACTACTGTAACTTCATGTACATGTATCAAAACTACTGTAACTACATGTACATGAACATGTAATTTGTGAAGTTCCAAGGATCTTGTTCTAACAGAGTTCCACTGTACAATGTACATGTACCGGTACATGCTGGGTCCGGGGCTCAAATCCGGCACCTGGTTTACGTGCTGCAACTTTGGTTAGACATGTTAGATCAGTTTATCCTCGTCCGTCTCACCGACCAGGGCTGTAAAGTGGGTACCCATGAGGGAGGAGATGCTTGTGTTGGATTAGTTGCGTTTTGCCCAAACTGGCAGCGTTGAGCTGCGCTGCAAGGGCAGCCGAGATGTTCTCAGTGGTATTTATGAGCCAGCTGAGCTGGGGGTATTAATGATGCAGCGCCTCGACTCAAGTAACACCAATGCTGGATATGCTCTATTAAAGGGTAGCTGTCATCAATTTTTGTGATTACAAACCTCTGAATTGCACTTTTGTGCCTCAGTTTACCTTATTTCAACCTTTGTTTCATGAGTTCAAATGGTATTTTAAAGCCTTCTGGGTTTTCTGTTAATGATCATTTCCATATTCATGAGCAAAACTGTGATGTCATCTCAGGAAGAGGCCTTAATGTTAAATTAGTTTGTACACAAAAAAGTCATTTTCCTAGACTAAACTTTCTCTTCTTTGCTGATTCACTGTTGTTTATAAATGTGCATAGCAATAAGAAAGCATCAACCCCTCTATCAGAAATGTTTTCAGTATTCAGTTAGTAAATTCCGAGTTCACAATTTGAACAGAAACACCTACATGTATGTATGTATGCACTGAACCATGTCTTCCTTAGATGATTTCACAGCAAGAGCGCCCTCAGTTGTCCGGAAAAGCATGGATAATTTTCATTGTTTAAAAGCATGCACTTCTCAGTGCACTTAACCAAATAGGAGTGTGTAAGAGTTTCATACAATGAAGAAGAGTACAAAGATGCAGAAAAATCGTGTCTGGTAAAAAATCATTGCAGCTACATGTCAAATCATCAATTGTTTGTTCATCCAATGCTTTAAATAGCGCCTAAATCAGTGACAAAAGCAACCCATTTTTCCTAATGTGATCATATTTATACCATAGAGTGGCCATTTCCGACTTCAGATAGCTGAAGGGCAATTCTATGGGAAGGTAGCCTTGACAATAAAATGTCAAGTTTATCACAAGGCAAAAGAAAGGAGTACATGTACCTGTACTTACATGTAGGTTTTACCCATGTGGGTTAAAGTCAAAGAAACAAAGGAATTACATGTACATCAATCGGTGGAATATTTTGCAAAATACAGTTATAAATGCTGAAGGAATTTTTTTAGTCATCCAAACTGCTAAATTACAGTATATGCGTAACTGAATTTGTATTTTGAAAATAGAAAAAAAAAAGCCAGCAGTTCTATATTTCAATTTAGAGAAGCAAAATGGGTCTACAAGTACATGTACATGTACTTCAGTCCCTTATGAGGAAATTTCCACTCCACCTTCCAAAAATATTTCATCATCACACATAGATTTACATGTACAGTACATGTACATGTATGCATTTTGGCCATGTAACGCAAGTTACATTGCACCAAACAATAATTTTTTTTCATTCAGAAAAATTATGAGAGGTAATTTATTGGCTTTGGTAATTTCTAAACTTATCACACCTTGATTCTCTGAGCAAGATGTTTGCCAAAATATACAGTGCCATCAGTTTACAAAAATGTCAAGAAAAAGTTTAACACGAATTAGCATGTAACGTGAGTTACCACCATGTAACGCGAGTTACCACCATTTAATGCGAGTCACCACCATGTTACGTGAGTGTGCCCATGCACGAGCATTGCCCTACATGTACATGTACCGTAGCTGTGTTACACTGACACTGCGGTACATTGTACATGTACAATGTACATGATGCCGTTCCTTCACTCCTGCAATTGACCTAAAACATAATGGCGCACATACCGGTACATGTACAGTGGAATGTCGCTATGCCGAACACCGCAATATCGAACATTCGGCTATACCGAACATTGTCCTTGGCTCCCAATATTTTGTGCACAAAACCTATCGAACATTATGCAGTTCTTTGCAAATCAACCGAGATTTGCCACAGCATGTACATGTACAGTATCAGAGATCGATCCTGAGCGGTAGCTTCATGAGTTTTAGGATAAACTAAATCTCAGTTTTGTAACTCAAGATTTAATAAAAAACAAAAATAATTAACAGATACATTTCTAGAAACCTCAAACGTGAATGCAACGGCAAAACATCATGAAAACAGCAAATCACAGTATCACACGAGGGCGCACTTCAGTTAGACAAGAGAGGGCACTATTCAACATGGCATCGAAACGTTCAGCAGTAAATTTTGCTATACCGAATGACTGTTGTACCGAACATTTAGCGTGGACCCCGTCGTGTTTATTATAGCGGCGTTCCACTGTACATGAACGCAATGTTTACTGCAGCGCATTGTGGGTGAAATCAAAGATGGCGGACATGACAGTCAGCCATGCGAGCCTTTGCCTGACGTTAGACGGAGCAAACTTGCAGTCTTGTGAAGCCCTGGCATTCGCCGTGAGTTTGATACACAAAATGGCACACTCAAGTTAACACGGAACTATTTTGGAAAACACAGGCCTTCTCAATCTAAGGATCTTGTTCACAATTTTCCATGCGCATGAAGTTCTAGCAATAACACGTGTACTGTTGTCCCCACCTTTCACCCACAATGCACCACAGTAAACACTGCGTTACTTTATTGTGTTTTAGGTCTATTGAAATGGCAGCTGAGTCTGAATTACAGTGACACAAAATACAGTCAACTCTCATAATAAAACCACTGTTACAAAGAATGTTGAGAATCTCAATTTCTTGGATTCTTCTTTGCTTTTCCAATCATCTAACAACATGTACATGTACATCAAAGTTCCTGGTTATAACAAAGTGATCTATTGGTCCTAGCAACTTTGTTATAACGAGCGCAAACTGTATAACTTTGTTTCATTTTGGGTGGACAGTCGATTTAGGCTCTCCACCATATTGGAAGCTGATAAAACTATGTATGCATAGTTTCAAACGCAAAGCGAAGTAAACTAACACATGAAGGGTTTAATTCCAAAATGAGATATATCCATTTGAAAAACATGCAATTTTACCACAATTATGAAAGATCGAAGAGCTTAGCAGTGTACCATTTATCCTTAAACGTCTTCGTTACTGTACAGACTCATTAAAGTTATGTTGCGCTGTCTAAACGCTGCAGAAACTGATGGCAGGCAATTAAGAGAGGGTAAGATTCTGAAAGATACCAAATTGGCACCTACCGCATTTTAGAAATAAACTCTTCACATAGTTTGTCAACTTCCAATACCCTGGGTCACTAATATTGACTATTCACCCGTTGCCTATAGTCCGGAAAACTATTTACCCTTGTGGTGAGGTTCATAAATTTCCCTGAGCGTGCGCTAGCCACCACCTCGCTGAAGCCCTTCTGGATGGCGGGGATCTCGGACGGCATGGGAGGGACTAGCTCCACCCGGGCGTAGTACCAGAACTTGGACAGGCGGGGCCTTGTCCACTGCACCGCATCTGCGTATTGAGGTCAGAGACAAAAACTGTCATATGCATGTAGGACGATTCCACACAAAAACATACATGTCAAGCAGTTAACCCTTACACGTACATGCCAACACATGTAGACCTACATGTACATGTACATGTATATAAACAGTACACACATGTATGTACAGTGTACATGTACACGTACATGTTATGAGGTACATGTATACATGTAAATGTACATGTATGTATGTGTACATTTAGAGTGTGCTTGGAGTACATGTACCGGTACGTGTACATGTACATGTGCAGGAGTTGCCTTATTGAGCGAGCATGAGTCCTACTCTGATCAGTATCCAATCAAACTTTTTGCACGGCCATTGATGACATCATTGGCCTAATATGGAACGTAAGGGCGTGGCTACTGGAGATTTGCAAACATAATGCTAAATATACCTGTACATAGATATAATGAGAATTCAGGATTGTTGTGCGACCGTTGAGACAAGTCGTCGGTATTAAGTCATTCTTTGCGCAGTCAACCGATCTTGCACCCCCCGCTGCACGTATATGGCCAGTATGGTATGTATTACAGTCATGGTAGCTTGAAATGAAAACCTACCTCCTTGGAGTTGTCCTTCAGTTCTGCATTCTCAGACAGGTTTGGGTTTGAAGTGAAATGTAACCTTCTTCTTGAACAAAACTTGCTCTCGGAAAATTTTGGCCAGAATTCTGATTCGCACTTTGACATTTTGGAACGGTGTGGGGAAAAATGACGAATAGTCTAGAGCGATATATGTCACTCACTGCGAGTGATCCCAAATCCTTTTTCTCATACTCAACAGTCATATACGTGTAAACTCTTGCATCTCATGTCTGTTTAATCAAAATGACTTTCAAAGTTGCATTTTATTAAAACTGGCTGAAAACTGAATGCATATTGTTTCCTAGTTTTGGATCACGCATTAAGTGTATGCACGCAATCTACTTTGCAAACTCATCTCGCTAGATACGGACGTTGCAGAAATGTGGGTGACACAATGGGTTCGTCAGCTGTGCGACACAAAGTAGTATTGTTGATGGCTCGCGCTGTTCAGCTGAAAGAGTTGAGTCGAAATTTACACAAGATCCAATTTTTAAAAAATTCATACGAATTCTTATTTATGAACCAAGTTTTCTGAATTGAGGAATTTTTCATTAGAAAATAAGATTTTTAAAATGGTTCTGGCTGAAAATAGATTTGCCGCTCGCGTGGTTACTTTCCGGAAACAGATCCAGACTGAGGAAAAGTGTCACCACTTTTGTTGATCCTGTACGTCCGAATTAAAAGTTTAAAATTTGAAACTGAATTGGTGTTAACAGTGGTATTTTTATCACACAAGGTGGACGGTGACCACATTTCACTGGAATTTGAGGATTTTTATAGAGCTGCAATCTGACTGAATAATTTCACTATCTTGAACTGGGAGAACGACTGTATTATGTGAAGAGATCTCACTGGTCGAGTTATCTCTCTGTCAAAGTCAAGTTGTCCTAATGGACAACTTGGCAAATGGTCGAGTTGTCTCAACTGTTGAGTTATCCGAAGTCTAGCCCCCCTAGAGTGGCAAGGACTCTTGCTATCGCTGCATCCTTAGCCATATATCCATAAACGCAATTTGCGTGTCATTGTGGTGAAAGATTTCGGCGCACTCACTTATCATCATAGGCGCAATATCTTTTGCACACAGAAATGATCCTTGACCTCTCCACTTTCTAAAAACCAGTTATTGAATGATTTCACTCACGTTGATCAGGTATTTTCCAGTCTTGTGCCTTCGCCCATTCAATCTCATGGGCACGCGCTCACAGTCACCATCTTTAAAATAAGGTCATTGAACATTACGTCACTTGACCCCTTATCTTCTCGACGCCTGTTCCATGTCAAGACATACCTGTATCTAATACAAGGACTGCGCAATAAGATAATACATATACTAACAGGCTCTTCCAAAACTTGGGCAGCAGTTGTAATATGTCTTGACATGGAACAGCCATCGAGAAGATTAGGGGTCAAGTGACGTAATGTTCAACGACCTTACTTTCAAGGTGGTGACTGTGATGAGAACGGAAACTGTGAGATTAAATGGATGAAGGCAAAAAGACTGGAAAATACCTGTTCAACGTGAGTGAAATCATTCAATAGGCCCTAGGCCTAAATGGTACATGCAATTAGAATGCGGAGAGGTCAAGGATCATTTCTGTGTGCAAAAGAAATGCGCCGAAATTTTTCACCACGCCGACACGCAAATTGCGTACAAACGGATGTTTAGCTGAGGATGGATCGGTAGCGAGAGTCCATGCCGCACTAGTGCAAGTAGTGGGGCTATCCGAATTCGAGTTGGCAAACGGTCGAGTTGTCCAACATCCTACATCATGTAGTACATGAGTACGTGTACATGTACAGTACATCATGTACAGGTACATCCAGATCAGATGTCGGACAACTCGACATACATGATGTACATCAGCACATGTAGGCCTACGCAGGCCTGACGAAAAACATCGTAAGCGTACAACAAACAACACTTTAAACAGAACAAATCCCTCTTAAAACCTTCACTATCATTATGTCTATTGAGTCAGGATGGACAACATCTTACCTCCTGCTACTTTGGGTCCCTGCGTGACCACTGAAGTTCCCAATCTTTGCCCCAATCCAACGATTTTCTGCAACGCCTTCGCCATCTTGGATGCCGGTAAACGTTAATGGGTTTCCTACCGGGTACGTTTGTGCGCGTGTCTTGGCGCCACAAGCCCTGACATACGTAGGAATTTGGAAACACCGTCGTAATGCAATTTTTGTTAGTAACGCATACCGTACATGCAATATCACTCTAAACGATGTACATGTACTGTACACTGGTACCCGTGCAGTGTGTTATTTCAATAAAGTCGCCACCAGTCCGTTTGTAGCCGCAATTTTCTGCAGCGATGGAGATACATGTAGGTCCCTACTTATGGAGACCAAAAGTGGACAACCTCATTTTCAGTGAGTAGATTTTTACTCCAAAAAACGCAATTTTCCGCTAGGAGAAATATGAATTTTACTTTGACAACTCTTCGTGGCGCGTCAAAAGTGGACAAGTAAAAACTTCAAATTTTCACTAGCAAATTTTATTTGATGCTCCCAAAGAGGACAACCCTATTTTCTCATTTTCTGCAAGTACATATAGATGTTCGGGTTTTTGAAGTTGCATCACCCCTTTTCATAAATCCCAGTTTTCAGTTTTCAACTTGTCCGCTTTTGGACCACCCCGCCGTCGGCAAAGTAAAATCCAAATTTCTGCCAGCAGAAAATAGGGTTTTATGAATTCCCCAAACCCAAAATCTACTAGCAAAAAATGAGAAAATGGTCTTGTCCACTTTTGGAGCATGACAGTAATTTTGCCAGAAGTGGGAATTTGAAGTTTTTAGTTGTCCACTTTTGACGCGCCACGAAGAGCTGTTAAAGTAAAATCCAAATTTCTCCTAGCGGAAAATTGCGTTTTTTGAAAATGCTTTAGGCAAAGTCCAAAATCCCGAAAATCTGCTAGCAGAAAATGAGGTTGACAACGTTTGACGCTCCATACGAATTACACTACACGTCCACAATAAGTTACTAAATGCTGAAGTCTGAGCACGTGGCACGTGGGCCAAGGGTTCCAGCTTGGGTTTTTTTTATATGTAATTGGTTTCCAGAAAAAGAATTTTCTCGGAAAGAAACAAAACAGTAAATGTAAATATCCACAAGGCTAAAAGGTTCTGAAATTGTGGCATCGACTCCGGACAATGGTTACCCTTTACAAGGGGTTTCCGACAAGGTTCCGATGCTCAATCCTTCCTGTAAGCAGGCAAACGGTACCCTGGCTCCTCAATCCTCACTTAGTATCGGGTTCATCGAATCTTTCCTCAGACTGCCTTTCTCCCTGTAATTTCGGATTTGCTCCAGTTTTATCTTTTCATACATATATTACTTTTAATTCTTCAATGGTTTGCCACATTTTAGCGCTCGGGGACAAACAACTCCCCTCTTTTTACAGTTGTTTTTTTTCAATTGCAGGGAGCGTCAAACAAAATACAAACTGTAAATTTTGACATACTCCGTATGAAATTTTAGAGATTAACCTTTGCGAAACCAATTTATTATATGGCCCAGTGTGCTGAATAATATGCACTCTGACAGTATAAAAAACGAATACGCATCCCGGAAATTGCCAAATATGCTTAGAGAAATTAGTGTCCACAGCTGAAAAAATCTAGAGTAAGAGACATTTAAAATGTTATGTCTTTTCCAATATTTTTCTGGCAATGTTAAGAATACAATGAAGTATTTTTGAATAACTTCTTGATACAAGAATTGTTTTCCCTCGCAGTTTCTTCGGTTTATTACTCTTTAACAGACACTTCCTTGTATTTGTTATTTTAAACTAAAACGAAGCGGAACAACACTTTATATTTGAGGTTTACTTTATAGTCGGTTTTGAGAGAAGGCATTATGAAATCTCTCAATAAAGGAAGTTTGCAAAGTATATTACCATGACATACATTGTCCTGTGCCAGTTCTGAAGTTGTGTGTTTTTGTTCTAGAAACAGTTAACAACGCGGCGTGGTTCCTTGTTGGGTACTCATTCTGCCTTTACCCCTCGCTGAAGATAGACTAAAACTGATCTTACATCTTCGCTGCTTTGGCTCCCTCAACCCTGAAAAATGGAGACTTGTAATTGCATCGTTGTGTTATTTTTAGCAATGTGTCTACAAGGTAGGTGGAAGTATCTTTCCAAAATCCGTCAAGAGCGTGTTTAATAAGGCTTTGCAAACTGAAACAGTGCAAGTGATTGTGAGAATATTACTTACATGTACTAGGAAGCCCGACGTGTCGATCGAAGCAGTTTAAGCGGTAGAGTGAACACTGCAGTAAAATGGAGATTCATTGTGTTAATTGTGCATTTTAAGATAACAATTAAAAGTATCATAGTATGAATTAATGTGTGAGTTTACAAAGTATGCATTTAGATATTGATTATAGTTTGTGCTTTGGTAATGGTCATGAAGCATTGTTTTTACAAGATGGCATGTCTGCGGGTCGGTAGGCCTATGCGCTCCAAAAGAACTTTGTTATAGCAAATTTTGACACCTGATCAGAGTTGATGTCTGCCGTGAAAAAAAACTATAGATAGTCGAGCAGATGGGATTCATATTTTGATTTGTGTTTGTTCTAATCTGTTCCGGTTTTTTTAATTGTACTTTCTTTTGTTTCGTTTTTGTTTTGTTTGCTTTGCGTTTTCTTTTTTTTCCGTTTTGTTTTGCTTGTTTTGTGTTGTTTTGTTTCTTGCTTTGTTGTGTTTGAAAAATACTTCATAGCCTTTCAGAAAGGTGTTATGTAGCTACGTTTTTGTGTAAAAGACGAAGTTGAAGGAAGTTCAGCTCGCTGACGAGACTGTCATCGTTCCCACCCCGCTAGGGCTACTGTCACGAACTGATTGAACATGCTCTTTGCGTCTTTCCGATGATTATGGGATCTGGGTTTTGACTTTGTTTTTCCTATGTGGATTTGATTTTTGTTTGGGAAAAATGAATTGTTTTTTCTTGCACCCTGTGCTAGACACATCTGCATCGCTAAACGTTCTGAACATTCGTCCGTACGGGACGGCCCGAATAACATCACCGTCGTACCCAGACCAATACCCCCGAAACCTGGACATCACGTGGGCGATCCAGACCGTCGATCATTGGCGAATTCATGTCATCGCCTCGTCTTTCCATCTGGAATCCTGCTGTGACTGGCTGGCAGGCGGGGATAGCACGGACAGCAACAACTTGACAACTGAGACTTTTCGATCACTTGGACGTTTCGCGGGCCCAGAGGCACTCTCTGATGGCCCTGCAATGTGGTTGAGGTTTAGAACTGATGGGAGTTTCTCATACTCTGGATTTTGTGTCTGGGCCATTAGCGTGCCGGCTGCTCGTAAGTGTGATTACATGCGGAAACAAATAATCGGAGTCATGCAAAAATTTTTAAAAAGTGGCCTGTCTTACTGAGCTGATGAAACATCAGCCTAAGACCAACCAGCAAACAACATTTGCCAATGTACCTCAACGCGCATGTCCATGCAGATGTACGTGTTTTCGGCACCTGGCAAATTTGCAAATGTTTTTAATCAAAGAAGCAATTGTTTTTCTCCTGAAGGCGAGTGGGTTTAGGGTCGTAGAGACAATTTTATGGCATATCCATACAGAACTGATGCATTTGCTGTTGCTTGACAAAATTTTCAGTGTTAACGAGTTTTCCATTATTTTCTCAAATGGCCCTCGGTAATGGTACTACAGTCTTGTTGACGGTCCGCTTATTATTGCTGAAGTCATTTATTGTGTAGGGAGAATGGGGCAGGAATAAGACATTCGACAGTGGCCCACGAACATGAATAGGAAAAGTCATTTATTGTGTAGGGAGAATGGGGCAGGAATAAGACATTCGACAGTGGCCCACGAACATGAATAGGAAAAGGAAAATTCAATCAGTGGTCCTGCAGGTGCTTTGTTGATTGCCATTGATATGATGTCCATTTTGTGCCAGTGTCTGAGAATTACACTCGAATACTGGGAATACGTAAGATCCCATTTAAAATTTGTGCCTTAAATAACAGGCAAGTCCTGCTACTTTCAGTTACTTTAATCCTTCGAATCCTTCAACAAGACAAGATATCTCAGGAGGGGAATCTGCCCCATCATTTTTTCTCCCAAATGTCGTGGCAACGCATTTCTCTTCAAGTCTCAAACCCATGCGAGTTTCATGGTGGCATTTTTGGTACTCATTTTGACACCAGTGTTGTGAGAATCAGCTATGTTGTTTTTGCTCAACAAGCACTTTTCCGAGACAGGTCAGTCCAAAATCCACACTTTCTTCTATTGCGTGCTCAATGCACGCGGGCTGGCATGTTTGATGCCAGTTCCTTCAGCTGACCGTTACATCACACATTGACATTTCATTCTGATAACGAATCGCTCTAAATGTATACAATGTTTCAAAACAACCAAAATATGAGAAAGCTGGTTTCTTGGAAGAAGCTAAATCCTCTGGCTATGAGATTCTTTACCCGGCTCTTCGAGGGTGAATTTACTGTTCTTTGGGGCGTACCTATTGCAGGCAGTGTCCATTTCAACTGCACCTTTGAGGATGGAATGTGCGGTTGGGCGCAGTCCAGGGATGACGATTCAGATTGGAGCCTGAACAGCGGAGGAACAACGTCTTCAAATACTGGCCCTTCAACTGACAGTACGAGAGGCGGTATGTACTAGTTTACTGCATGTAGATAAACTCCTGTATACCACAACACGAAAAACCACAGACGCGAACTTCTCTGCAAAGTTGTAAAGAATGGTGCTTAGAAACATGCTTTCAATCAAAACTCGAGAAATACCACGTGCGTTCGTTAATCGTAAAGCATCAGTGACGTTGTGTCAGAAATGGGGGTGGGGGTGGGGAAAGATGAGGGGAGTGACCTGCCCGGCCATGAAATAGCAGGGGATGGAGAAGGGTGACACCATATGACTCTATAGGCCCAGAGGTCGATGTTCCTTATATTGATGGACGGCTGTATTCAGAATGGCATATTTATGGCTTTAATTGTTTACTTAATTGTTTTCCCTTTTTGAGTGATAATGAATGCATTTTCTTCGTTGGAAGTCTGAAAAACCCTCCACAATATGCTTTCATTTTTGGCTAACTGGCAGAAAGTGTGTGTGGGGCTGATTCAATAGCCCACCCCAACCCCAAAGTGGGGGAGGGGATATATATATATCTATATCCTCGGGATTTACGCCCATGCATAGCATTTCCTAAAGCTAAGTAATTGATTTTTTTTATATTTACTCAAAGAGTCTGTATTGAGAGAAACTGGAAAAGTCTAACACGAATTGTTTGCAGATTTGGACACTTGTGAAAATCTAACTTTTTCTCTTTGCTTTTCAGTTGACCAATTCTTTTCTTACTGACTTCAAATGCTCTGAAGTCCAGCGCGGTGCTATAAATCTTTATTACCTACCGTTGTCCACGGCACGTGCACACCCTAACCCTTACACTTGTCCTTGTGGGGAATTGCCTTTGTTCTTGTGTAGTAAAAGAAAATAGTGTGTAAAGCATACTTTCTAATTGCTTCCATTTGACCCCGAATCATTTTCCTTGGCTGAAATTTTGACCAATCGTCCCTGCAGTGGCATAGTGGGGGGGGGGCACGTTCCCCCAATAAATTCCCGGTGCCCCCAGTGTCCCCTTCTGAAAAAAAAAACGGATAAATGGATATTGAACAAAGGTTAAAAAAAAAGTACCCCAAAAATCCACACCACGGAAAGCTGGTTCCCCTCATTAGATGCTGGTGCCCTGTTTATGCCCCCACTAGTTAATTCCTAGCTACGCCACTCCGTCCCTGACAAAAAAACGCTTCAGTTTGCGACGGATAAGTACTCTTTGAAAGTTCCTCTTGTTTGAGTAAATTCCAAGTATCAGTTTCGTTAAATTCTGTGGGGTTACCATATTAGTACCCCACAGTGAATGTTCCTCGTTAGGTACCTCCCATTGTTCTGGTACCCCACAAGGCACCATAAACACCTCACACACGCAAGTATGTAAACGCTTTCAATCGTTGACTCCCTATTGTTCCTCTTTTGTTCATACTTTAACATTTTCGGAAGACCTCCCATATGTTTTGTACACGTTTTCTAACCGTGGACTCATAGGCAACCGTGGACCCTATTGTCCCCTTTTGTTATACGTCCACGATTTGAATAGGCATACAAGCTCACCCACACACACATTTTGAAAAAGCGACCAACGTTCAGGCCTTAAGTGTCTAGATGTACTGCCACCGGTTTTTCTCTTGTCTTTCAGTTGCGTTGGCTTCAAACGCAATCAGGCCCGAAATTCAAAAGCGGTACACTTTCTGCCACTTCTAAATTGTTGGCATTATGATCCATTACCTGACATCAAAGAACTGGCCCCTCCGATCCCAACAGACGCGTCTGGTGTTTACGTCTACTATGAAGCTACCGGAGGTGGCGCGGGCGACACTGCAGTTCTGCTGAGTCCGGTTATGCACAGCATTGCAGGGTTTTGCTTCGGTTTCTCGTACAACATGTACGGCGATACAATGGGTACGCTGCAATTCATTGTTAATTAAAGAGTGTGCAGGCATTGTAGCTCCACGAAACATCGTTATAGAGAGAGAAGACAGAGAAGTTTTCAGTTCACAATAATTATTGCAAGACCTTTGTCTTGTAGTTGAAATGATCCATAGGAGGAACTTTGAATCCACAGAATCATGTTTAGGGACTGAAAAATTACTGTGCGTTTCTTGTGTGGAACGACCGTCATGGTTTGATGCGACGCAGAGATATGGCAGAGTTGAAACTGGCTTTAAATGTTCCCGATTTTTAACTGTTCACGTCTTGTGTGAAAAGGAGGCACGTTACATGTGTTAAAGAGACCTAAAGTTTAAAATAATCCTTTGTTAAAGTACTAAAACCGTCATATTTAAGACCAGAAAAAGGGCATCAGCTCCCCCAATCCTTTAGCTACTACAGCATGCACGCCTGCACTGGCATATACTAGGTTACGTATAGCATCAGACGTCTGACTTCTGTTTCGTGTATCATCACTTCCACACGGCAGGCACGCTGAACGTTTACCAGGTCCCATTTAACGGAAACATCAGCGAGGGCGAAATCATTTTCACAAGGAGTGGACAGCAGACAACGGCGGCGACGTGGCTTTCCGAAAGGATTTGTCTACGGAATGTGGAAACAAGGTTTAAAATAGCACTGCAGGCAGAGCGTGGAAGTAACTACAAGCCAGACATTGCAATCGATGACTTGAGTGCTGAAGGTAGAGGCCTGAAAGTTATTTTGGACAGGCACCTTTTACCGAATCAATCTACATACAAATTCAAAAGGGGACGCCGTTCCTGCGGGGCCTTTACACTGGCGCGAGGGTTTTAACTCGAGCGCATGCGTGCACATTGGCAAGTCACAACACCTTATTGGTCTGAAAGGTGACTCGCACGTACCACTCAACGCGCGCAAAGGAGGGCCCTGCAGTAATGGCTTTTAATTTTGGTGGCAGTACTAGGGGACTGAGCTTCAAGACGCTACGCTTAATTAGTTATCCAGGTGAATAGGAATTTATCGATGATTAATGACTCCCTGGAGTTTATTGGTTAACTTAAATTTACTAGTCTTCTTTTCCTATTCGTTTGCTGTTGAGTCAGTTAGTTTTGTCTTCAATTTTCTTTCATTTTGATGCGGCCTCTAAATCAAATTATTAGCTTGGGTGACGATTGAACGCAGAAAATTCTCCTGTGACATAGTACAAGCTGCAGTTTCTTATTGTTCCTTTTGTTTTGTGTTTTATTTTTTTAATTTCCCCCATTTTTGCTTGAGTTAAACAAAACGCAAACACAAAGAGCAACAGCATTAGTACCCTCGTAGGAGATGGGGTGATTCTCTCGAGGATGGCAGAGTTCAAAATGGAAATGGAGAAACAAAGCAGTTGGCAATTTGGCGCCATCTATATTTGTTTTGCAATAATAATGATTGTAATTATGACAACATAAAGTAAGAAACGAAATATTTGCATAGGTCTCAAGCCAATTCCTTTTCTTTGTTTTGTTCTAGGTATTCAGTTTGTTGGGTTTAGTGCCTCATTTTCCTTTTTTGGATGGGGAGGGAGGTTCGTTTGGTAGTCTGTTAAGCTCGTTTTTTTCTTTCCCTTAGATTTCTCAACTCCAATACTGCTCTGGGACCCTAACACCATTTTCCCACCCTTGGGAGGAATATCGCATGCTGTAGCAGGAAATGACCAAACGTATATCTGTCAGGTATGGAATGTTTTTTTTTTTTCAATTTCCTCTCGCAGCAACATCACTGATACAATGATACGATTGTCCTTAAATTTTCCAAGATTAAAAAGTCTCTGTAGGTGTCGATTTGTATACCAATTGTCTCTGGATTTTTAAGCTGCTATAGCTTAACCGAACAGCTAGACTGTCTAACATCTACAGTCTGTACATGTCTTTGCTAAAGATTTGTCACATGCGTACGCTGCCTCAGAACATCGCGGCTGCTATAAGTTGACCGTGGACATCAAACAATAAACACCAAAGAAATCTTGTTTTACTTCACGCTCGGCTCCTTTACCTCAGGCTTGCGTAACCGTTTGGAGTTGACTGTTTGCTTTGTTTGTTTTGTTTCTTGTTCTTGTTTTTAATCCAGGTGAGCCATTATCGAGGCACCCAGTCCTGGTTTTATTTTACACTTTGTGTATGTAGCACACAGAGATTTGTTTTGCTTAATTGATGGGAATTAGTGTTTTGGTGAAAGAAAAAAAAGTATCGCTGATTTTCTTTTTCTAAGAGAGTCCTAAGCCACTTCTGATATCGTGATTGCTGATATCGCGATATTCGATGTAAAGTTGTTCCATAAGTTAGTGATACAAGTTCGTTTCATTGACAAAAACTCCTGAGAATATCCAACACTACAGGTACCCAGATTGCAGGACCCAGCTTCTTTAAAGTGGACAGTGGATTGGCAGGAAGTGACGGCAACCCGGAACAGCAGCTTACAGGACGACAGCGGACTTTATACGAGCACCAGTATTCTCACGTTACCGGCGGCAGACATCCACCAGGGCCAGATTGTGCAGTGCTACGCCCAAACAGACGACCACGGTTTGCTGAGTACGACGGTCATGACTCACGTGAAAGGTGAGCAGCCGTTTATGACTCTGTTGTTGCATTGCCGTAGCCCGTATCTAGGATGGCCACCAGAACATTGTGACTATCTTGAGGCTGTAGTGGAGGGTTAGCCGAACTGCATCGGTTGTAGCACAGTCAGGTTATTCAAATATTTCATATAACTTTTCATTTACCTGATCAAATGTATGTAGTTTAAAGTGCATTCATTTATGTCAATAATCTAAAGAAATCTTGAATTCTGAACCCTTGAATCCTTAAAGAACTCTTTAATTCAGTTGAATCGGGCATATTCCTTACCTATTTATGAATTATTTTTGAGCAATGATTTCCACCAATAAAGACCCTGAAACGCTGACCGTCTGAAGGGATAGTGTAAAAGCTTCGAGAGGCGCCTGATTCGACCCCAAAAGAACCCACTCACCTTTGCCTCATTATAAACGTACCAAAAGAACTTACTCACCTTGTCCCCGATTATCAAAGCACGTCTGTGATGTTTTAGTAGAGTCTGGCATAATTCGTCACCGTTTTTATGAAGAGGCGAATTTCTCACCGGCAAGTGAAACTTAGATTTTGAGAAAATCACATTTGAAGTTGGTATCTTTTTGAAGCACTGGTTTTCCACGTATTTGGCGTACCTTTGACTTGTGGTAGGTAGCCCATTTGATTTTGCCAAAAAACAAAACAATACAAAACAAAAACAGAAATTAAAAGAAAAATGGGGCCAAAGTGACTCTTCGTGAGGATGGTGACGATATAGGGTTTTGTGCTTCGTGGCACCACGTCTGTCAGCTTCGTTTCACTAACCACGTCGGTTGCAAAAAGTCGACCTTGCAGAATACCCACATACGGGCAATTCACAATCCAGCGCGCTTCTGAGGGGGTCAAAGGAGAGGTCCTTTTGTCAAGTTCAAAAACATGGCCAACCCATCGCAATTTGTGTTGCTGTCAATACCAGTGGACAACTTGAGGAACTTTTGTTGTTGATCAGTGCACAATGTACCTATCAGAAAACCGCTACCTCGATTAATTAGCACCGATACTCATAGAAAACCACTCAAATCTTCTTCCCTGACAACAACGTTACCGGACCCTTTTCCCAAAAGGCCTCTCCTTGGCAGCCTTCAGGCGGCGCACTAAACTGTGAATCGTTCGTTTATTCACAAAATTGGTGACAAGATGACGGAGATAAGTCGCCGAATTGAAATTCCCTTAGAAAAAAAAATCAAGGTAGGGGAGGGGTCCTTCCAATCTCGAATGCACAGAAGTACTCTTGTTTCCAATTGAAAAGTGCACCCTTCAGACAAGAGACAAGTAGAAAGTATATCCTTTCCCTCTTGAAAGAATATCGCATAGGCTATTGTTTATAGATTTGAGGTGTAAAAACATTAACATACGTTGAAGAGGACGAAGTTTCAATAGGTTATAACCATTCACGAGAGGCGTCCCTTTAGAAGGACCTTATTATTGAATCGCCCTTCAAACATATTTTAACGATTCAATCCTATAACGACAGTTTGTTTCAACCCTTCCACAGTTCCGCCGTCTCAAACCAGTTTATCGCTGTATGGTAGCAGCGGAGCACTGGCAGCGAGAGTTAGTCTTGTGGAAGGTGAGCCATATTCCTTCCTCTGCACTGTGAGGCAGACCAGACCCGCTGCCACCATCCGGTGGCTCCTGGACGAGAACGATCAGAGAACCGACCCACCTCCCTCGGGGGATCGTGACACGCTGATGGACACCACTAGCAGCTGGACGCTGGTGCCCAGCCGAGCCAATCACGGGCAGAGGGTGAAGTGTGCGGCGAGCACCGCCGAGTCGCAGTCTCCCCTACCGTCTGTGACAGCCACTCTAGATGTTACAGGTACGCTTTCTGCGCACCTTTGGGTGGTCTGACGACCATCTCCCTCCCTGTTAGTTGTCACATCCTTGCCCAAACGATCCCTGCAAAACTGGCATGGGGGCTCATTTGCAATTCCTGTCCCATCTCGCGTGAGTTTCCTAAGTCTCATCCCTGGACTATTTGAGGGTGAGAAGCATATGCCTGTATTTCAAATACCTTTTGCTATGAAAACTCTTGCATTATCTCGGTAGGCCCACACTATTATTATTTTATAAGGTTTTTACATTAAAACAGGGGCGATAGGTTAAAGGTAGCTGTAAGGTGGAGATACCTCCCTTGAATGGCAAACACGTAGCCCTAACTCCTGGCATATCAGTTACAGTGACCATGACTGTCTGGATTAAATGCTTGACGCTCCTTGCTTTGACAGCAAAATTGCAGCATTACTGCTTTGGCATTTATCCGCAGGTCCACCTGACAGTCCTACTATCAGTGGCCTCCAGTCGGTGACTGAAAATGAGCGCATCCAACTTAGGTGCCAGGCAAGGCGGGGGTATCCCGACGACTGGGAACTGGTGTGGTCTGACGAGGGTTCAACTCTCGCTGGTTCACTGACCACCGCCATCTCGACGTCTGGGAGCCGTTTCACATTCACCAGCATGCTAAACTTCGAACTAAGCAGGGAAGACGATGGAAGAGTGATCAATTGCACCGCTAGGAGACGCGGTTCTTCCCAGCGTGTCACTGCATCTCTGGGTCCTATCAACGTCCACTGTAAGACTCTCTCGTTATTTCTCACTCCTTAAGCCTAAGATAGCTGAGCTATTTCTTGACCATCCCAGAGCCGTTGGGCGTATTCTACCTCCTGGGAGAATCGGCTGTCGTGCGTTTGATATATGAAAAAACATATACGGATGTAAAACCAATGCCGATCAGTACAAATGTTGAGCTTCAGCACAATGTTAGCATTTTAATGATTTTGTAGTTACGATCATTTGCTGCGTGCGTTCGGTAGTATTGGAAAAGTATACTTTTTGGCTGACTTGTCTTTGAATAAATGGGCGCTGCCCGACAACAAAAAGCTTGATTGACACGATATTGATGTACACGGGATAGGACAGGACACCAAACAAAACAAAACCTCTTACAGGCTTGTCTCTTAAAAATATGCAGTACAGAGATACAGGAAACGATATGTTGGGGGGTACCAGCCTGTCTATTCTTTCGAAGTTAAGTAACCTCAACTCAGTAAGCGAAAGAGTTTTGCCCAATAGCTTTTGAGCAGGCTTCTTAAGCCGAGAATCTGGATCACTTTAGTGGTGTCCATTTTATAAATGTTGGACATGATTTTTGGAGAGTGTGTCATGTTGAGACAACCCACGTTCCTATGTGGCATTCTTTTTGAACATGGATTCCTGCGTTCTGATGATAATCTATAAGTTTCTACGAATTTAACACTCCATTTGCAATTTTCCAGTGTTGCCGTTTTAAGTGTAAATATACCTCGTTTACTTTGACACAAGTTTGGAGAGAACTTGTGGTTATAAATCTGGGGTCATGAATTGTAGCACGATGAATAAAACTGTTTGACCAAATTTTGCATGGCTTTTCTTTCCCCACGTGAAAACCACATATTCAGACCATCCGTACCTTTCTGAGCCAGTGGCCCCTGGCCCCGTCTGGGAAGGTGATGACGTCATTCTTTCCTGCAGCGCAGACGCCAACCCCAAGCCGGCTAACTTTATCATCTGGGAGAAGGTCGGGTCCTTTGCCTCGCTACCTTCGGTCTACAGCGATGGCACAAGCACTCTGACACTGCTCAACATCAGCAGGGAGCAGGCTGGCCCATACAGGTGCCGTGGGGACAACGGTGTACCACCGTTAGTGCATTCCAGTCACATAAACCTCACCGTTCGTTGTAAGTATCCGTCTAATTACATCTGCGTGTAAACAATGGGAACCTTTGATGAGCCTTATTGTATAATGTAGGCAGTGTTCAAGGATTTTTTGGAGCTGGGAACGGTTCAGGATTTTTGGCATCACAAGAGAGACTACTTATATTTAGCTGAGATTAGCTTGGCTAAATTGTTTACGTGGGACTGCCTACTTCCTGTCCAACCAAACTAGTGTGATCGACATAGGTACAAACTTAGTTATGTTGTACTTGGCCTGTTTGATACAATACATACATTTATTATGGATATGCGGTATTTTTGTTCTGTTCCTCGTACCAGTGCTATTAAGTGCCAAAAACTTATTTATTAACGTGGTTCATTGACAAAAACAGTTAAACCATATCCACCCTTGGACGTCTCGATTCAACAAGGACGTATCACTACGGAGTCGTTGACCGTCAAATGGACGCCGGGCAGCGAGGGAGGCGAGAAGCAGTGGTTTTACGTTAGTTACAGCGAGACGGGATATACCGGCGACTCGGTATCCGCCATCAGAAGTGTCAAGCTGTACAACGTCAGCGAGTACACGCTGGTCGGCCTACGTCCCGACACTGAGTACGAGGTTGAGGTCTATGCGGAGAACGCCAATGGTGCCAGCGAAGCCGTTAAAACACTGGGCACCACTCTTCGTAAGACTTGTTTTCATCCCGTCAAACTCATCCTTTTACCCAACCATATTTAAAAAAATAGGTAAATAAAAATGCCACCCGAAGCCCCACTATATTTTAAGTTGCGGACAGTTTATTACAGTAATCAAACGATAATTATACGGATACTAACTAGGTGCTTACCAATTAATTGCAAAGAAAACCAATAAATTGACTGGAACGAATTTTGATTCATCAACTTTTGGAATATCGTGCCGGTGCCCTACCAACTGAGCTAACCGGGTCTGTATTGGTAGATTCTCTTGAATGGTATGGTGCCTTGGATTTTATGATTTTCGACTTGCCCCCCACCCCACTAACGCAACTAACAAGTTGGAAGAACCGCCAGTGCACGGTTGGGTAGCGGTCGGTAGAGCGCCAGCTGGTTCTAATCACGCTCCGCTGCATTATTCCTCTTCGTCACTAAAATAGGCTTAATCGCGGTGCAGTCAAGCACTTTTGTTCCTCTTTGTAAATTAAAGACTGTAATAATGAGATTACCCTTCAGTAATGAATGTGTTTCTTACTTGTTTTACGGGTTATACAGGGCCCCTCGTGACGACCTGCCTGTATTTAGTCGGTATTGGTGCCCTGACGCTTCTGTTGTTCATCAGCACCGTAATAAACCTCACCCAGTGTTACAGAAGTAAGAACACGAGGCAGAAACCATCCAAAAAAGGTAGCACTGTCAATTTTTGTCATTAAAGACGGAACTTCAATATTCCAAGCGAAAGGCTGGAAAGTGTGGTCTCACATTGTCATAGTCTGAAAATTCCCCAAGTCGCTTCCATTATGCAGGCTCAACCAGTGTGAATTGATTTTCTTTACCCACAATGTTTAAGGTTCATTTTTAATTATTACATTGATTGTATGATTTTTTTCTTTTTAAGTAACTACCTTTTCATTTTCCTCCCCTTAGAAACTCAACCACAAAGTGTCTCGGAACGGTGAGTCCAGCGAAGCCGCCTTTCCATATGCGCGTCATCTCGCCAAGCGTTGTTTTGGGGCGATGTGACAGACGAACGCAACGGAGTCTTGTGTTATGTTAAAGGAGTCAATTTTTTTGTCCGTTAAATTAAATAGCATGAACGCATCGTGTATACAATGCAACACCAATGAAAGAAATACTTAATGCACCTTAAGAGTTATTGAAGTGCTGTGTATTTGACTTGAAGTCTATAGTGCGTCATTTCCAAACGCTGACAACTAATACATTGAAACTATGGTCACCCACAACTAACCAAGACGGAACCAGCGATGAATCTTTTGTTTACCCCGCTAAACGCAGCTAAAGTCTTTTTCCTTTTGAGTTAATATCATTTTAAAAGCACGTGGCCTAGGAGCCAAAAGTAACCCGCAGTTGTGCTGAATGGAGACATTTCCAGGATTTAATCAATATCATTGTCAGGAAAACACCAATAATTTGTGTCTAGTCTGGTGCATCATGCCTGCGCTAGCACGTAGGCAACGAGCAAGCAGGTTGATCAAGGTACTCTTTCCTCAAATATCCACCTTGATTTGGAACTTCCTGATCAAGGATTTGCTGATTTGCAAAATAATTGAACGCTAATATTCAAGATTGGAGCAGATATCTTAATTTCCCTCTCACCTTCCTTTTTGTAATGAGTTCCTCTGTTTTGAACACTTTAATAGGAAAGCTGGCACCAGGGTGTCATCACGGGTCGTTGAAGATATGACAAGTTACGAAAATGTCGGTAAGTGTGCACACAGCGAGAATGGAAACAAATGTGTTGGAGACATTACATCTACCAGTGCTCGTTAATTTGAATAGGTCTGTTGCCTGTCACAAAAAATGCCAAAGCGTCTGTGCTTTAAAGTGGTGATAGGTTTACTTTAAATTATACAGAGATGGGCATTCCGTTTCATACTCCAAGCTATCCACCAGGGCTTCTTTTGAGGAATATACATCGGAGTCATTATCAATTATGAAGTAACATAACAACTTCCAGAACAATAACAGCATACAAAAGCAAAAGCAAAACAAAAACAATAAAACAAAACAAGCACCCCAAAGCCTCTTTATCGAGTCATGTGCATTATATGTTTAGTATTTTCTGCGTCGAGGGAGTGAGGTTTAAACTACGACGTTCGGTACATTGCCCAACAACACGTACATTTCTCAAATGTCAATTGCATTTTTCCGGACAAGCACATGTATGGCTTAATTAGCCAGATTAAAATGACCTTTACCGCAAAAGTGGGGAAACCTACGTAAAAGAGGAGCCATAGAATAGAAAACTTTTTTGAGTTGTCCTCTGCTTTGCTCCATGGAGGAGCCGAAAGCTCGATGTGGAATTTTCAGGGACTGACTCTTTTTCATTTAAAGAGTGACCACAGTTTTATGACTCCTGATTTCAGCAATACCGATGCAGACCGTTAGAGCACGGGTCGTTGATCCGGTGGAGTCCACATACCATGATACCTCTGACTGCCAGGCGACGATCTCGCGAGACCAGCTAATCTTTGTGCGAGAGCTCAACCAGGGAGCTTTCTTCAAGCTGCTGCTGGCTAGAGCCAAAGGCATCGAGCGGTCTGGTGTTGTAACCCCTGTAGCCCTCAAAACGGTGAAAGGTAGGCGCAGGTTAGGAATGCTTCGTAAACGCATTTTTATGATCAGCAAGAGAGTGCATACTAGCATTGCCCATCTGCCCAGCTGTTCTTCGAGACAAAATTACTTTTGTATCCATTGCAGCAATAAGTCTATAAAATATTCCTCTTGCTCCCGCTAGACGTAAGCGGAATTATCATACTAATTATATTTTTAATGTCCTAAAAATTGCAAAACACCATGGAGCATCTTAATTGGAATTGGTGCCATATAAATGTATCATTTTCAGTGTAATTATTATGGACAAAATATGGACAAAATAACATTGAATATGTCTTGCGTATCTTGTAATCTTGTAACATTTTGAACGGGCGTTATACGTGGTTTTGACAGGAAACGTGAAACAGAAACAGAAAAAAGGAATGAATAAAATTTTTAACAATTCAAAAGAAGGTTTGAACCCGCACGGAATACAACCTGCTGTTATAACTTTACAATGTCCATATAACGGGACATACACCAAATTATTAGTAATTTGCGTTATATTCTTTTTTATGGCTTGCCGTAGTTACCTATCAATCCTACAGTTTTCCCTTTTATGGGTATTGCTAAGGGAAAAAAGATGGAAACACCCACATTTGTTTCAGCTAACCACGAAATAAAAAATGAACGTTGTTGCCTTACGCAAAGACTGTTGGGGAAGACCAAACTGACCAGGCAAGACACATATGGACAAGGAACAACGTTGGTGTTATTTCGAATGAGGGAAAACAAGGCTATTTTCCGAAAATATCCCCATCCGTCTGCTTTGGACGGCGTCATATTCTACCACATTTGTGCAACGCTCCTCTTCTGTACCTCTTTCGCGGGAAAAGCAAATGTAATGGACACGTAAACAGTCCTGAAAGTAGAAAACAAATGTAAAAAAACTGCTGTATTTGCACCTCTAGCGTAGTTTTTGGTCTGTTTCCTGTCCGTGTCATTTTATTAACTTTGCAGATGAAACCGATCAGAAGGAGAGACAGAACCTAATCTGGGAGCTGAAATCGATGAAATCGCTCACCCGCCATTCTAACATCGTCCAGCTACTTGGGTACTGCATCGAGAAAGGTACGACAGTTTTGGCCATGCACAGAAAACATATCCGCATATTTTGACATTTGCCACATGAGACTGATGACAAACAACGATGGCAAAACCTGTGAAGGGAGTGTACCAAAAAACATTGACGAATTTCCCCTAAACTATGTAGATTGAAGAAACAACTCTGCCTCTTGTAACAGAGTCTTCAATAGAAAATGTGGAATAACAAAAAGCAAATTTGACAGCGAACCAGAAAGGGAAAGTTTACTGAAACCTGTAAAATGCCAATACTGAATTCAATATATTTTAATGGACTATGGCGGTAAAGGCAAGTGAGCTAGTATTCATTAACTCGAGTTCAGTGTTTTAGTACCAACTGGTGCCCTTTATGACAACCATTTCCTTTTGTCTTTAAGCTTACGAGAATTCTCCCAAAGTATTTTGTGTTCTAGGCATCCATCTGAGTGCAACGTGATTACAAGGTACTTAAGAAGTATTTATTGCTGTTTGACCAGTTCACCCTCCCACACATTCCCCCATGAATGCATGGCTTCTTCGTTTCGTTATAACATGATATAGTGAGAAAGGTGAGACAGAATATTAATAATTTGAGAGTGGCAGAAAAAAATAGTTGCATCCTTGGCAGACCAATTTTTTTTATCATGGAAATAAACCAAATTCTTTTCAAAATTGGGAAAATCAGCAGAGTTCGATGTTCGCCATTTTGAAGGATGACATTCAAAATTGGTCTGTGCAAATTTTAAAATGACCGCAGATTGCAAATGGTTCCTAATTTAGTTTGACTCCAACTCATTTGTATAAATCCTATGAACAGATCCAATGTATATAATCCTGGAATACACGGCCAATGGGACATTGAAGGAGCTCCTTGCTGACCATCAAAGCCAGTCAGAGGCGGTGTATGACAACCTAAGGGGGGCTGCCGACTCCTCTCTCACCCCTCAGACTCTGCTGAGCCTGGCGAAGGGTGTGGCTGACGGCATGGCTTTCCTGGCCTCACACGCGGTAAGACTCGATGTAGTTATGTATACCCACCAGCTTTAAACAGACACATGACAATTATACATGTCAAGATCTAGTGATGCAACAACGCCTTCGTAAGCGCGTGGTGCAGCAGGTGATTTTCACTTGTAAACAATAATTTTCCAATTGTGCGCACACAATCTTGTTTTTTCTCTCACGATCTGTTCCTGGAAAGCTACCACATGCTGGCACATTACTGAACGTCATTAGTGGCCATTGTTAAGATTTGAAGTGTTGCGGGCTACCTTACTTTTTCACTTGAATTATTGCTTTATTCACATTTTTGTGTAAATAAAACATGCGAATACTCTAACAACTGTGTATAAATAACCTTTGTCTTTTGTAAAACGCTACTCGCGAAAGCCCACTCCCTTTTGGCCGAAGCATTTGAATTCGTGCCTTGTCTAAGTACTGCTCTTTTGCCGTAAATTTACTTGTTTAATTTCATTTATACTAAACGCTTGAGGTATTTTACCGAATAGCACACTTTTGTTATATATCATTAAATACACTTTGACTCGCCAAAGTCTATTGAATTGATTTGTGCTGCTTGGATGATTTCCAAAGAGGATGACTCTACTATCCAGGAGGGCTGGGATCTAACCGATGTTTGATCTAGCCGAAGCCTGTGATTTTTTTGCACTCCATTTGAGGATTTTTCTCCCTCTCTTTTATATCTTAGTGCCTTCACAAAGATCTTGCAGCTTGCAACGTTTACGTTGGTGATGGAATGGTCAGCAAGCTCTCCGATTTTGGATTTGTCAGTGACGTTGCTCACATGAGAAAGTATCAGCGACAGAACCAGGTATTACAGACGACCAGGCACAGAATGAGTGGACAGTATTTAGCATTGCAATGTAGCCTATACAGCCCCTGAATGAACTTTTGATTGGTGCGTCGTTGATCACGTTCCATTCAACTAGTACTTCTGCTAAACTGTTACTGTTTAATCACAATGTTGTTTTAGTTGCGATGGTGTTGTTAGCGCGTTTCCAGCTTCTCATACACATTAAGTGAGAGATCAATCCTTTCGTTTCCATTATTCTTCTCGTGTCGTTGAACTTTTCATTGTACTTCATCAAGTTATTGTCAACTATGCATAATCTTAATGAGCATTTATTATTTGTGCAATGGGAGAATTTCCAATGGGAGGCATGTTTGAGATTACATTCACTTCCAAAAATTTAGTTTTTTTAATTAATGTAAAACATTCAAAAATGCCTGATAGCTAAGCGCCTTCTGACAGTCTTTAGGCTTCAAAAAACCTTTTTCTGTTCCTGAAACCTCGACGAACTGTTGGATTCCTCTCGGGTTTGTGCAGTGGCTTTTAAGGTTATGACCTAGGGATAATTTACATAGATTCTCACTGCGGTTCTGCGGTTTGGTTGAAATTCGGGATGCCAGAATTGAAGTTAACTTTATTTTCGCCATTGAAGAAGGTCCGCAGCTATGGAAAGTTAAAAACCCGCGCTGTTTAAGAAATGATGTTTTCTTCATGATAATAATCATTTATTGAATCGCATAGTATAGTATTTTGATCCAGTAATCTTATATTTCAATGTCTAGGGTTGTGTCCCACTGCGATGGATGGCACTAGAGTCGGTCCGTGATGATGTGTACACAACAGAGAGTGACGTGTGGTCCTTTGGGATTCTTCTCTGGGAAATCGTAACTTTGGGTGAGAACACGACATATCATATATCTAAATGAAAATCAAGCAAAGGTTGACGAAACCAGGTGAAAGGAACTACGGTTTGTTTTTAATTTCTTGCTGTTTCTATTTTGGCTGAGAAGGATTTTGGAAGGCTAGTTAGAGAGGGTTAAACATAAATATTATGTTCCCGTTTTAGAGATTGTATTAAAAGGTGATGACCGTGTGACTTTAAAGAAGGATTTGTTGACGCAAGCTACGAACATTTTAGTCAGGCATAATATTTAACATCTCTATTGTATAACGTTGTCTACTTTCCGGTCTAATGTAACGTTTATACACACCTCTATGATTCTTAGGCTGCAAACCGTATCCTACCATGAGCGCTGAAAAGGTGGCTGCCAAGTTGAAGTCAGGGTATCGGATGCCTCGACCAAGCCATTGTCACACAAAAGTGTGAGTTCTGTTTCTTTAACACATCGTTCATATTTTTGTTATATCTAGCCATTAACTGTGCAATCTACACTGGAACTTGTTCAGTGTAACTATTTTGTCTAGTGGTGATGTACGTAATGGCAGGTGTCATATGAGAAGTAGGATTACTTCTATTCTCCAGATAGGAATGTTTATCTTTGTTTGCTTCAGGTACCAGCTGATGCTGGCATGCTGGGCCAGGAATCCATCAGCGAGACCGACCTTTGCGACAGTTGGTGAGAAACTCGGGAAACTAATGGGAAAAGCTAACGTGAGTTTAGGCAGGAGAATAGACCTCATTTCCTACCTGATCTCTGAATTGGTGCGTTTCTCAAGTACAGGTCTGCGCCTGAAGTCACCGGCGGCCATACAAAGGTTATACAAAGTTTACTAGCCATTTTGATCAAATGGTTGGTGACAAAAATGGTTACAATGCTGCTCCAGCCAATGATCAACTTTATATTTGGCACGGTTAGATGGCCGCTGGTGGCTTAAATCGATACAAAACTACAGCAAAACCAGACTTAAAGCTAGCAAACAAGACTTCAGATAGCAATTGGAACGGATAGAACTACAGATCACATTCCTTTTATACAAACTTTTTCGATAGTTTTCCAGGTAAGAGGTAAATAAAAGTTATTTGTGCACTGTTGTTTCCAATATTATGCATTTTTAAATCCATAACGGGAGAGATGGAATGAAAGAAATTGAATCTTAATTATATCTATATCCTCTTATATCTTAAGTATTATTTTCATTAGTCAAGTGTTTAAAACTAAAAATTTGATTGTTCAGATTTAAATTGTTTTCAACCACTAATTCATTTCAAAAAATTCTCCTTTGATGGTTTTCCTTAATTTTCACTGCAGGAGTACATATCATTGGAGGGATACCAGGGACATCTCTACAAAGCAAACGTTGCGGATGGCTAAAACCTTTAAAAGATATAGGCCTTGATCAGTAGGGTTATTGTCTTCTTTTAAAAACTTTCAAAGTAGAAAGTATCCATTAATTAACTGTCGCTATGTACGTTAATCACACTCCAAACAAATATACTGCAGTTGAGTACTTTATATTGTATATTAATATGCACAAAAGTAGAAGCCCATTTGTTAGAGAAGACCACTGCCGCTGACAGCTACCGATAAATGCCCTGACATCGATTTCTATATTTACTCTTAAACAAAGATAGATTGAAGTCAAGTAAGAGGCCTGCAATAATGTATGCGCGCACATGATGCCCAATGCTGACGCGCCATGCGCAGTAGTTCCGATCATCTCCTCATCCCTATCGCCACCCCTGTACGCATGCGCTTTCCATGCTTTGCTTTGACTTATCAGATCCGAAACGATTGTGCTGGTTAGAACTAAATCATCTGGGTCAACAGAGCTATGGCCATATCCAGTGTATAAAGTTTAGTCCTGATTGCCCCAATAAATTTTAAAAGGAAAAATGATAATCTTTCGGAGCAAAGTTGGGTCTCCGAGTAAATGTACTCTTCTCTCCAACTTATAAATATACCTTTATTGGCGAGGAAAATCCTCTCTTAGGATTGCCAAAACAAGCAGCACTGAAATTATTTCAGCGATAAGGAAGATTAAAGAAACCTACGATAATGGTTGGCCTGAAACTAAATTAAAATGTTAAATACTTTTTAATCCTTGAATAAAAAGCAAGATTTCTCTGGTTTCAAAGCGGTAATCTCTTCACCGCTTCATGTTCAGACTATTGTTACATTTGGGGAGTGCTGAATGAAACCCAGTGCATCTTTCGTTTCAATTCCCCCTTTCTGTTGTTCTGACAAAAGAAAATTGATTCTATCAACTGCTAACAGATTTTACAGAAGTAGCCTTGAAAAAAGGATTTTAGTACTGAAGTTGCAGTATGAATTCATGTACCCCTTTCACCTTTAAGAGATATTTTACTTGACAATGTTTCTTTTATATGCTTTCTTAAACTCCACTGAAAGCGTGGATATGTAACCACAATTCAGCAAAGATTACGAACGGCTAGGCTTACCAAATTAAGCAAGGTGATCTGCTGTCCGAGCTCTTGGAGCTTGGNAATTATTACACAAATCGAATAAAAGTTATTTAGTTTCTTGTTTCATTCATCTATGAACTACACTGCAGCTTGAGAGGATTGAGAGAAAAAAAGACAACTTTTGTCTTTTTCACTTTTTTTGTATTTTGGGATTTTCCCCTATTTAATCAGAATATGTACTCTCAAATCATTACAATCGTGTAAATAATGGAAACATCTCCGTCACAGGAGCACCTTTGATAACAAAGCTGGCAAAGCGTAGTTTATTGGCATTTGCAACTGAATATTATAATCCTGTGGAATGCTTGTAGCTGTAACTTTGGTAGATTTGTCTAGTCAAAAGTGGAAAAAGATGTTCGAAACAAAATCGTCAGACATTTATTGTTATTGTATTGCAGAAGTTGGCTGTAAAGTGCATCTGGCAACAGAGTTATGTGAGTTTATAATTGTACTTATTGTTAATATCCCCGAATAAACACCACCAGAAATTTCAATATTCACTCAGTAATGTTATCGATTTTAAGTAAGAGCTGGATTACTGCGGATCGTGGGGAAACAAGTAAAAGGGTCGTTAGTATTTGGACTGAAGCCAATATCGGTTTTTGTGATGAGGTGAATCCTCAATTTTGTCAGGAAATGCAGTACTTGAATTACGTATGTGGTTAAAAATAGGAAATTTCACTTATATTGACTTTGAAAGCGCTTATACATCCGTGACCGTTGCATTCAAAAATGTTCCCCCGGAATTCTTCAAGATAAGGGGTTACATGATTAAAATTAAACCGACAGTTCCACTAAATTTCGTTTGACATAGTTGCAACGCAGAGAAACTTTTTCTGCATTTTTTCTTATTACAAAAGTTACAAATGCACATGAGTTGAAATTGTTTGTGGAACAACATCTTTTTTTTTTAAAGGAATTTGTTTAAGTATTTGTTGCATGTAATTGGTGTAACTCAGTGTTTTTCATTGAATAAAACAAGTCTGCTTTTAATAATACGCTTTCTTTACATTTGAAACTTACAGCCTGTTACCGTTTATTTGTAAAGTTTGCTCACAATAATGTGGGTTTTACATATTGCATCTGCCCTGCCCTTTCCCGCCACGTCTTGCCCCGCCCCGCCCTTCCCAATCCTGCCCTGTTCTGCCCTGCCTGCCTTTAATATGCCCCAATTATATACTGTTGCCATGACATTAATTATCATGCTTATTCTTGGATTCTTACAAAACTACAAAAGGATATGATTAATTATCGTGAACCACAAATAAGATTGTCTTTTGTGCTTTTTACAGGGGTGGTTTCTATCAATTTTTGTTTTTAATTTATTGAATGGACAGTCCACTCTTCAGAAAGTGTGCATGCAGTGTCGACAGTTTCCTGGTCCACTTTTGCAGTCGCTATGCAGTGTCGTAATTGACAGGCAATGCCAATGGGGTGTTTGTTCCGTTTTGCTGTATTTTTTGTGCCTTCTCTTCCGTTTATTTTTATCATAGTAACAGAAACATGCAGTCAACCAAAAAAAGTAACAATAATAATAACTATCTAATTGTGGCAATTGTCTCGCAGGAAATGAAGGAAGGGAAATTTTAATGCATTTTCCAGATCAAAGCAAACTGGGTCTTTGCCAAGTAATATGTTTGGAATGGACATCTGGAAATTTAAGCTGAAACGTGAAGTCCGAAACACTTGTCCCCGGTACTGGTGCGAAAATATCCTTCACAGCCCGCCTTATTTATTTTCTCATTACAAAGAATTGGGATATTATTCAATATCCCATCCCCTGGTCAAAGGTTGGAAGGTATATATCTCACATTCCCTGGACTTGAGGCTCCTGCCAGGTAGTAACTAAAAAGAGCAATTTTTTTGGAGAACTGCGTACGCCAAGTGATTGACATGTCAAAGGATGACTGGCAGTCCCTTTGCATTGATTGTCACACAGGCCCAGATTTTATGGCCAGCTGTAACTCATGTCTTTAAGGTTATAAACGGCGCTTTGGAGATTAGAATGCGCCAGTTAAAAATGTGGTTTTTTGCCATGTCAATAGCATTCTACATTCCTTTGTTGAATTGTTAGAGAGAACTTGTATGAGCTGTCGACAGCTGTCCAATAACCGAGAGCGCCTTTTGTCACATGATGGTATGACCATAGTCCCTGGGGATGAAAATACAGTCATTCCTCGCGTAGGCTATCTTGACGGAAGAGTCACCATTGAAATAGGTTAAGGGATCTGTTGTCAGTATTTGCGTGGAAGCGGTTTTGGCACGAGGACGGATTGATGATGGTTCTTTGCAAATCACTACACTACATTTTATAAAGTACCATGGTAAGGATTAGACTCGGTTTGTTTGGATGCGAGGTTGTAGAAGTGTTGCAGGTAGATGATCTTATACGTGAGATAGATAACGCGTACTAGTAATTACGTCTTTCTCGACGTTTATGTACATGCATCTCAACATATCAACACCAAATGGGAAGAGTACTTCACAAGTTTATTTACCGAAACAGTAAAGAACAGTAGCATAATTTTCAAGTTTGCCATTTAAAGTCGATATAACAGTTGTGTCAAGTGTGCCTACGAACTAATAATGTGTATATTCCAGAGTTGATGGAAAAACCTTATCAGATCTTTGACTGGAAGAGATTTCTACGTGGAGACAATCTGCAGCCATCAGCGAAGGAGCTTAATGAGCCCCAGATATCATAAAGACTGACTTGAAAAGGAAAACAGCCTCAGTGGCAGTTTCGATTGCCCCAAACATCCTGTCATCTGAAACACTGAGTCGTTGGATACCGGTAGTAGCAGTGACGTCAATTTGTGCCGTAAGTGGGGTGCGGGGTGGAAAATGAGGAATTGTGCCCGGGTGGGTGTGGCTGAGTTTGTTTCTGCATTCAGTCGGGGACCCTGAACAATAGAGGACAATAAAAGTCCCCGATTGACAACTTTGAAGAAAACAAATGGGTGGTCTTCTAAAAAAGTTAAAGTACAAACAATAGAGGAACAATAGGGGGTCCCCAGTTGCAGGCAAATGCACACTTAATCGTGTGTGTGGGTGTGACCATTCTCCACTGATTGATACAGGGGACCAGGGTTAACCCGGGGCGTGGAAGATAACGAAACATACGAAAGTGTGGGCGAGTTGCAGCATCAGCACAATGGAAGAAAGGAACCTATGCACCCTCCCCACACACACCCACCCACGACCTCATCATCGATGCCAAACAGCGTTCTCCGAGTCCCGAAGCGAGTGTGATGGGAAACAACTCGAGTCAGATGTCCCATGGATAATTTTAGTTGCTTAATTAACCCTGAAGTGCGGTGGGCGGAATCCGTCCCCAAGCAATTTTCCCAATATCGCCGCAGTGCATTCGTTCAGGAGCTGTGAGTAGTGGGGGGGGGGCTATTTGGTACACTTTTTATATTACACTTTTTATAGTACACTCTTTATAGTACAATAACTATAGTACACTTTTTAGGGTACACGTTGACCCAAAATCTTAAAATGTTCCCCCAACACAATAGACCCATGGCCCGGCTGGAGGTCCATACTTAAGTAACATGATACAATAGACCGTGGACCGACCGTGAGGCTCCAAAAGTGAATGAAAGGATAAGAGTCCTTAGTCCCTATAAAATGGACCGCGGGTGTTTGGTCTCGGACAATAGACGGCTCGTGGCGCCGGGGCTAAAAGCCTGTTTGTGTATTTTTTTTTAATGGATAAACGCCGATAATGAAAGCGAATGATACGACACACTTCTCTTACAATCGTCGCCATGGCTTTTTGTTTCGCGGATTTCATAATTCTAGAATAAAGATGGTCACATGAGCGTCATGAAAGGGGTGACCAAAGATGAGGGTAGGGGGAAGAATTTAACGAGTCGCGGGGAGACATGTAACGACCCGTCCGTGGGGTAAACACGAACAAATAAAATTCGGGGTTGAGAGAAAACGTTTAAGGCAATGATTTAAACGCCGTAGTTCAAATAAATATTTGATTCGAAAGCGTACCAAACAGGCCCCCCCCCACTACTAACACACGATAGGTCATAACGTCAACACAGCGTCAACTGCCCAAAAATACAACTTTAATCCACAAGAGAAGCATAGAAGTGTAATACTTAAGCTGAAAGAGAATTTCCAGTAGTTGGAGGTCACAAATCAAATTGCAAAATGGCTTTTTTTCCACACGAAAACAAAAATCTCTTGCAGGGTATAGCTGTTCGCCGCCATCTTGCCTCCTCATGGAGCTTGCACTGGACTGTACCATTTAGGTGAACTTGAAAAGGTCCTGTCACATTTTCTTTCTTCTTAAAAATCGAAGGGATTTCTGAAGATCATTAAAGTCAGACAAAATATCGTGCTCGGCTTGCTATTGAAAGTACAGTTTCTTCGGTGAAAAAAAAGAAAGACTGAAACCAGCCTCAGCTGAAGACAGTTGTCACAATATGCATTCACCAAGCTCCCCAAAATGCCCACATTACGATATTTCGGCAGAAATACTTTCTTAATGTTAATGTGTTTTTCATACCCAGCCTGAAATTTTAACTGTTATAAATCTGTTTTATAGTGAATGACACCGTTTACCGTTTAACTTTTTGCTCTTTTTTAAAGTGCTGGGCATCAGTGAAAAACGGCAATTGCTAAAAGGATTTAGCCCAGGGTAATCAAGAATACATAGATAAATAAATAAAATGGCCAACTGCCATGACCGGCATTTCAGCTTGCTGAACATGAACTACCGGTTACCAGTGGCACTCAAGATTACTTCTTGTGGATTACAGTGTAAATGGATAACCGACCGATTCTGTTCGTGTTGCTTGCCATGTCAATCACATTCTTTTTTTCAACTGGAGAATAACTGGCCAAGTTCGATAAGCAACCATCAGGTTGACAAAGCAAGTCAAATATTGAAAATAGAGCCGTTGAATATCTGAATTACCGAATATTCAATGGGTTATTGAATATTTGAATATTGTTTTCCAAATGTGAATATTTTCGAATGCAAAATTCATGGAAATTCATTTGTGTTTAATGATTTATGTTCAAAAAGCCGTATCCTCTTCGCATGATTCCTGTTTACCACTTCCCAGGTTGTATCGTTTTTTTGGGGGGGGCGTGATCCCTGGCTACATGGTGTTTTAGGTTTAATGACTTCTGGCTAGCGCCCCCCGAACAAAGATGTATTGACAAACGGGAAGAGCCACCAACATGGGGTTGGACGCTCACTTGGTAGAGCATCGGAGGCCGCAGGTTCAAATCCCGCTCTAGTCAATGTCTTTGTTCATCTTTATAATATTCACTTTAAAGTTTCAGAAAGTTGTTATACAGCTTAAATATAATATTCCAAGTGCAGTTCTTGACGTACTGACGCATTTCACTTTCCATCAGTCAAGATTCTGTACCTCTCTCTTGTTATATCTTGTGTACTGCTCTAAGCATTATTAACATAATTCTTTCTTTGTATGGTTCTTCTCTTTGTATTTGGAAAGTTTTTGTTTTTCCTCCGCCGTCAAGAATTAGACTTATCACAGTTAAAGGTGAAAAGGATATCTCGATTCTGTGCTAGGTTACTAGGTAGGCTGCAGTTTTTTGGCACCCATTTTTTGCTCAATCCCCCAAGTTTGAGAGGATGGAACGCCACTGATCTTTGCCCTTATACAAATTTTGCAACGCTTTCGCCCTGTTGGATGCCAGTCAGCACGCGGTATATCGCTTTTCAACTCGACAAGTTTTCGATTCCAGCTAGGTGTGGATGGGGGGGGGGAGGGACTGGGTGTGGGGGCGCCCCCCCCCAAAAAAAAAAGAAGGAGGGGAGAAGAAAAAATGAGGGTTTATATACAGCCTCAAAATGCACCACAGAGCGCCTAGAATACAAAATAAGGTATTTACGCCACGCGCTCGTGGGGATACCATTGCTGCTTTAGTTCAGCCCCCCCACCCTTTGGAAAATCCTGGATCCGCCCCTGCAAGCAAAAACTTCATTCCTAGGCACCTCTTTAGATTTTAAGTGCGTTTGTTGCCTCAAAGGAACATGATGCACGAACAAAAAAATGGTGGACTGTACCTACCCTCCGACGAGCAGCTACGCCGACAAAATAACACCGTTACTCCGTGTGATTTGATGGTGGCTAATATATAGGAAATAGAAGTCTGATTTTGTTGTGAATGCAGGAATCTTTAAGGGGTAACTGGGGTGGTTGACATGGGAGACAAAATTAAACAGATTGTAAGCCTCAGAGAGAAAATGATAATAGTGCATAGCCCAGTGTCGATCAGGCCGCGCTTCTGATTACCTTCTTAAGTGGTGCACTGTTCTGTTGAAATTTACTGGCTCAAAAGTTTCCACTTGAGCAATAAGAACGAATGATGTCGAAACACTCCCAGTGAATGGTTTTCAATAGGCGTGAAGCATACAGAGCGCGGAACATGTAGGCCTATTATTCTGTTTCCTTGTGTGTTAGCAATATCTCAAATTAAATGAATATTTTGAAATTACTTCCTTCACTTCGTGTTTTCCCCTAAAACAATTCTAATAAGAGATACACGTATGGTTAAGCGTATTGATTTCACTGTAACACTATACAATGAACACACATCCCTGTGTCAAAAGTGCAATTACCCTTTTCGAGTCATTTTTGGATTGCTCAGTCGAGGAAGTTCACCAAGCTTATTTTCAAGAACCACGTTTTTTTGTGTGCCAGTTCTGAAAGTGTTAATTTGTGTTCAAGAAACAATGAACATAATAACCTATTGTGTGGGGATTTGCGTTCAAACTGCATTAATTAATCTGTCGCTGTAAGGACAAACCGCATAGAACCAATTTAAACTTCATCGCTTCGATCTTGTCCACTCTGGAAACTGTACACTCCTAATCTCATCTCTGTCGTTATGTTATTAGCAATGTAAGAAACATACAAAGAAAGTGGAAGGTTACACTAGTCATAACGAGTAACAGTTGGGTTTCCTTGTTTGCTTTGGACTTATCCACCCCTTGAACTTGTCCAGACAATGTAAAATGTGCCTGCGTGCGTCACTAGAACCAGTGAACCAGGAAGCCACCGTCTCGCGTGAAGGTGTTGCAATGTGGAACTGAGTTCTTTATTGGAAACTACAAAACTCAGCAGCACATCAGCTTAGCACATCATTGGAGGCTTGGTAGGCATTGTAACCAACATGGGGACCCATCTCTTTGCCATCGTGGTGTCCCTAGCAGTTTCTGTCAGAGGTAGGTGCAACCTTTCTCCTAATCTTCCAACATAGTTCCTACATACTGCTCGTTATTTGTTACATTAAGGGGGGAAATAGTGATCCCACTGTTTATTCAGAGAAGCGATCTGTGTAATAATTTCTAGTATCGGGCTTAAGCCGCAGATCTTTTCAGTTATGGTCGCACCACGTTCGCGGTACCTGCAGGGTAGGCCTACATGGCACACAAGGCCAAGACTAGACGCCGTGCCGAACTTAATTCAAATGAGTGTGTGGCAATAACGCGGCAGTTCCGCTTTATGGTTGAACTGGCATTGTAAATGGAGCAGTCGTACCACTTCCATTTGGAACGACAACAGTGCGGCACACCTTAAAAAAATAAAATGGATTATTTGAGTTTTCACACGACTAGGCCTAAGTGCGCGCTGCCCGTTAAGTGGCCCTAGGTGGATATTATATCAATTGAGAAAATTAATTGGAGTGTGGTGTGGCATGTGCGACCACTATTCAAGAATCAACAAACAATGTGACAGAAGGACTCAGTTACTGTTTATCGGAGACAGCTGTTTGCGTGGTCACTTGCAGAGATCTAATCCCTTACATTTGAAATTTAGTAGACAGAGATTGGACACTATGATGAATTACATTCAAGCGGCCACGCAATACATGCAGGTTGCTCGCATCAAGTAGACCAGGACTTATGGTGCAGAAAAAGAGCGACTCCAGTGAGATGTCCTTTGTGAGGCACTTGGCACGGTAATTGTGGATTTGAATTATGAGGAGAATATACTCTATGTCTAAATTGTGGCAACAGGGATCGTCTTACCGTCCTTCTGTCTTCCATATACATGACAAGTTCCATTTCAACTGGCGGACCTTCCGAATTTCCTTTTGGTGAAGTTTTTATCGCTTTATAAAAGGAATTTTAAAAAGTCGTAAAGCGAGGAAAAGTGAGTTGTTGCCCCTGTCGTGTTTTCCAAGGCGGGAGTCATATTCTACCCGACATGTTTACCGTCCCTCCAAAATTGCCTTTGAAAGTCAATAATGTGCCTGCCACTCTCTTTCCTTATGAATGACCTTGAAGCGTTAACGCTACATTCCTGCCACAGCGCAATGTTTGTGAATTGTGACCGTGTTCGTGCATGGAATGTAAAGTTCCACATCAAAGACAAAATAAGTGCAATGTGTGAACAGGGGGTTGCACTTGAAGGCTTACAAAGAAAGCTACGTCTGTACTACGTCTGAAAAACAAAATAGTAGGCCTATTCGTTATCGCTTCTTGAACTGCATGAACCATAACTTACAGGACAGGAATAATGCACCCAGCACGAAAACAGGAATCGTCGAATACCCGTTACTTTGTACCAATAGAAAAAAATGTCGAACAAGGCCTGACATGTTGCTGCAGTTATTGGGCCTGTCTGCAGTGTCCTGACACCGTTCACAGTCACTTCAATCGAAACCGACGGCAAAAAACGGAGAGAAAAAAAATCCACATCTGCGCTGGCGTCTGCTATCAACCCTACAATAAAGGGATTACTCTGGCCATGAATGACACCATCCACACATTCAATGCATGGTCCTATATTTAATAAACTTGACTTAAATTGTCAATTAAATCAAGTCTGGTTGGGGTATTTAGATATGTCTCTATAATCCCTGGCCTATTGTCTGCTGCTGAAAGCCTGCAAATGCTTTGAAACTACACTCTAAAATGGATCAGTCAAATTTGACTAGAATTCAGTAAAATTTGACTGGCTCTTCAGGGTCAGCTGGGTGCAACTGGAAATTAGTCAATCAGACTAGATTTTTTTAGTCGGTTCATTGATGTTTCCAAAGGCATCGAATAGGAATCTTGTCAGAAAGCATGATTTGTCAACGTTAACGTGGGTGTTTTACTGAATCCCTAGTTAATTTTGAACAACTAGGAAAATCAGCCAACATTTTGACTAGGTTGTTTAAAGAGTGTACCATATCTGGAGATTTCAAGGTCTTGTGAGCGTCAAACTATCATCTGAGGACAGATATTAACATTGAACACAAAGTCTAAAAGTGTCCCACACCCGATAAAATAAATGCGTATGCGTTGTGTTTTCCGTGTTTGTGTGTTAAGTTCTTTAACAAGACGACATATAGTAAAGATGAATTACTAGCTTCATTGAAATAAGAAATAATATAATGGTATTAACCCAGTTGGCTGCCCGTAAAAGTTCTCTTGTAACACGCATCAAGATTCCTTATTCCAGTAAGCAATAATACTGGAAATGATACTGTCCACTGCAAGTATAAAAAGGTGGGATGAACGTGCTCAAACCCACATGGGTGGTTTCCTAAAAATGAGATATTATTGATGTTAACTTTGGCTTTAAGTGGAAAGTAACGAGAACCGGTCTCAATCGCCAGCTGTGGGCTGAAACATTGATTTTCCCGATCTTGTATGTCGGGGAAGAAGATGCGTGGGTGTATTTCGAGTAGCAGTTCAAATTAATCATTTATTCCTTAGTTCTGTTTCATTGAATGTTTTAATCAGAAAGTTGTCGAAATTGTAAACTGAAACACGGTAAATGCAAATCGCAACAAGGCGGACATTGTTTTTGTTGGCCGTAAACTTTAAGGGCTCTTTGTTTTAAGCAGATCCGGATCGCGCGCGATCAGTGATCCTACGTTGGTTCGCTGACACCAGAGCCTAATTCTGCACAATGGGTAGTGCGAACCAGCTTCGGGATCACTGATCGAGATCCAGATCCGCATGAAACCAACAGGCCCGAAGGATTCCATCTGGATCCACCCGTATGTGGCGCACTGTATTTGTGAATCTCCACTAGCGATAAAAATAAAAACAAAATATGTTCCCTGTAACAGCGACCTGCTACCGCATAATGAAGCATTCTTAAAACTTGTATTTCAGGAATTCTTTCCAGCAATGTCACCCTTGGCCCCTACGAGACAGCCCGAATAACATCTCCTTCCTACCCTAACAACTACGGCAATAACTTGAACATCATCTGGGTCATTCAGACTGTTGAACATTGGCGGATTCACGTTATCGCTTCAAGTTTTAACACAGAATCCTCTTACGACCCCCTGCGAGGCGGTGATGGCACAGACAGCGCAAACTCGACAACTGCGATTTTCGTTTCAAGTGGGTCCAGAGGTCCAGATGCAGTTTCCAATGGACCTGTGATGTGGTTGAGGTTCACAAGTGACTACATTATCTCATCCTCCGGTTTCATCCTGTGGGCTGTCAGTGTACCATCTCAATGTAATTGTTTGCTTCATTTCAAAGGCCTGTTTTATTATTTATTTATTTATTTTTTTTTGCAAATGCCAGTTTGGATAATTTTTTTTCATACTTGATTTATTTTTGTTAGGCCCACATAAAAGGCGGATTAATTTCTGGTTCAGGTTAGCCCGCAAAATGGGTAAATCGTGGAAAATATTTTGTTGAAGTGTACCACATTTAATCCCTAAATAGTTTAAGACAGTAGCCGTTTTGCCCTCGGACGGATTCAATTTAATCAAGGCAATTATCAGTACAACATACATGCAGGTTTATTTTGATATTGCACCGTTTAAAACATTTTTCATTGTTAACTCTCATCCTGGTCCATGCAGAACACTGGTACGAAACGTCTGGTAGTTGACTTGTTTGCTTGTTTGAAACAGAGCAATGTGCAGATAGGACTTTCCTCAAAAGTTTGTTTGAAGATAGTAAGGAAGCTTGTCAAACTATACAAATCAAAACTTTATCAAATTGTGTTTGTGTCAAGTATCTGTCACCTCGTTGAACCATCAAAATGCCGCCTTACGTTCAGTCAGTGTTTTCTGTTGAAATGTATTTCAACCACTTGAGAAGTTTGTTTCGAACGGTTTTTTTTTGCGGAAAGATAAACGGACACCTTTGATGTTCAGTACCTTCCTGGCGTATATGTGGATACAAAACAGAGACTGCATATGGGCATCCTGTAACCGATGATTTCTTCTTGATTTGACCTCGACCTGTCTTTGGTATTATAGTGTTTTAACTTCCATTTCATGCATGATCATTACAGCGAGTTTGGATTTCAACTGCACCTTTGAAGATGGATTGTGTGGTTGGACGCAGTCAACCGATGATGATTCAAACTGGACTCTGGATAGTGGAGGAACTCCATCTTCCGATACTGGCCCGTCTATCGACAAAACAATAGGCAGTAGGTACTCTTGTTGGTTTAGTTTGTTGTTTCCTTATTTATAAGCGTTTTCATTTTCTTATTTATTGTTTTTTTTAAATACATTATACTTTTATGTGCATACAGAGATAACTGAAAATTGGGGGCATTGCTTTTTATTGTTTTACATATTTTTAGAGGAAAAAGATTTTTGTAGTCGTCCTCGTTTCTCTTTTTACACTTTTCGTCAATCTATCGCTGCAACGGAGTTATTGGTTTAAAAAAAAAGTATGGTTTTATCTAAACTATGGAGGAAGGACACAGAAGGAGTTACAACTCTGGCACTTCAAAGTGCTCGATGATCAATGCCACCGGGTTGGACGAATAATGGAAAACATTCTCCATATTCCCGATTACTGCCTACTGCTTAGCCGGACAAGTGGGGCCAATATCATCTCAGCGATATTTTGTAGTGTTCTGCATGCAATTAACTACAACTTATTTTAGTGACCAGAAAATACAGAAAGAAAATGTCCTGACGTTAGACCTACTGTTCCCACCGCGAAGAAACTTTTATTTTGATACACTGTTCCATTATCCTGGCAATGTTTGTAACCTTTATGTTTGTCCCTCCAAAAGATCGGTTTTAAGAGACACAGTACAAATTTGGATAAGACTGGCCAACAACATGTCGACCACTGAAAGACTAAGTTCATAAAGAACAAAATGCACTACTTCATCACAAGGAGTGATCATGAGATCGGTTTTGTATAAATGACCTAATTAACATGATTAAAATGAAAACAAAACTAAATCTTATAAACAACATGACTATTTATTCCCAGAACAACTCTAGAAGAAAGCATTCCGGGGGCAATAACTGCACATTAACATTAAGAGAACACACCATACCATAAGCAACTGCGCAAGCATTAAATTTGATATTGCTGTAGTATCACATCAAGCACCAACAAAGACTTGAATATTCAATTTCTATATACTTCCGTATACAAAGTTTACAGGATGCGGATTTCTAGTAAAAATAGCGGCAGTGATCATAGGGTACAGAGGGGTCTTCTGGTTGTGAAACAAAAGGTGCACCCTGGCATTGAACATACCGAGCGTGCCTGAAAACGGTAATTGGCCAGATGTCATAGCCCGGGCAGTTCGAACTCCCGTGTCCTTCCTCCGTGTGTAAATCATAGGCCTGACAAGCCTTCACAAGCTTTTTACCAACTTCACTAACTTTTACCGTCTAAGATTACATATGGACTCAAGGAAATGCTTATGCACATACAGGACCGAATATATCAAAGTATATCTATAAGAAGGTTCCCAGTTTGAACGTTGCCATTGACAAATATTTTGAAATGGTATTCAAATGCGACGACCGCACTTTGACGATGATTGGTGTAATTCATCTGGGTCAAATCTAAATTTGTGATTCGGTGAAGTGGAAAGAAAAGACGTATTACACATTACAACGGACGTGTCTACGATGACCACTGAGAGACATACGAGTTGTGGATTTTGGACATATCGTTGTCTCTTACGGGAAAGAACAAACAAAAACTCACGTGAAACAATGTGAACTATCATTGTTTCAGTGCAGTTTTTCTTGATTTTTATAGGCACAATTGGAACCTATTGCTACTACGAGGCCACAGGAAGGAGTGAAGGTGATAGAGCTGTGCTAGTTAGCCCAGTGGTTGCACGTGACATTGGGAGATCTCCGAGTAACTTCTGCTTCAGCTTTTGGTACAGCATGTACGGCCTATCTATGGGTACGTTTACCGATAATAAATAGGGTTTGTACGGTATGTGTGGGGTAAAATAAAGCATAGCATTTCTGATTTCTGCATGAACACTTCATACAGATTTAGAGAGAAACAGTGCCATATCTGCACGACTTAAAATGTATTTCAATGAGGCAATGTGAGCCCGAAGCAACATCCTCCACCTTAGCTCATTTGTGTTAAGATGGATATGAAAAGGAAATGGTATATTTCTCCGCCTCATCTTTGGTGATTTGGCAAACAAAGGAAACAACCTGACCAAATCCAAACTTTTCTTGGTAGGGTCAAACACATTAACGTTCATTGGAAGTTCCAACGTGGTTTCATGCCTACACAAGAGTTGCTCTAAATGACTTACGGTGCACGGCAATTTGTTCCTGCGCAGTTGACTTGTAGTCATTTTTTTGCAACATCGTCCTGACAAGTTTTCACAATCAATGCAAAACCGTGCCAGCCAATCGACCTAAACTCAATCTAGAATGAAATCAATATTTCACAAAAATGCGCAAAATTTCTCACCAAGACATCAATGTTAACTTTTCCCATTTTGCTTTCATTGTGTGACTGCAAACCTCACTCTCATCGCTCTCTCTGATCACACATTCAAAATACCCAAATTGTTCCATGATTATATTTCGTTTTCTTTGCAATATTTAGAGCCATGCGAGTCACATGTCTGGCAGGCAAATACTCCTTTCCCAACCCCCCCCCCCAAAAAAATAGTTGTTTCCACCAGCACACATATGTACCATTTCTCGCAGGCACTCTCAATGTGTACGGGGTCCCGATTAACGGAAGCATTGATGACGGGGAGGTTGTCTTCACACGGAGTGGACAGCAAACCACAAGCTCAAGGACTTGGCTTTTTCAGTCGATATGTCTCTCAGGCCCTGCTCCCAGGTTCAAAGTAGCCTTTGAAGCGGTACGAGGCAGTGGCTACACGTCGGACATTGCAATCGATGACTTGGTTGCGTCGGGTAGGAAACCATTTCTTTTTACGAACATAAGGGCAAATTTAGTGTCGAATTTAGTGAGGGGAAAGTTCCTCTCGTTTGGAAACACTTATCCCCAACCTCCTTTGCGAGAAATTATTCATCGCTGTTTACACAAAGTGACCAAAAAACCGAATAGGCCTAATCGTTTATAATTGACCTCGAAGTTCCCATCCATTTTACTTGCATCTGGGTGGCCGGGGACCTTTACATCCAGGAAAGGAATTCCTCTCCTCCTCTGTTCCATGGTGAACGTGATGTTGGGATGCAGGTCGTTGAGGTGATCCAGGAACGCCTGCAGGTGCTGGGGGGCCATGTGGTCAAATGACAACCTGCACAGCGCATCGTTCCATCATCCCAGCACCAAGTCATCAGTCAACCGTGCATACATAGGAAACGCATCCCACAAGAACACATCGGCCATGGACGCAGAGGTGATTATACGATAAATCGGCGACTGTCAAGCACTCACACATCAAGGAACACGTCATCAACTCGCAAGCAGCTCAACTCCCCACTACCACACACCAGTGAGCGCACTCAGTAGCCTTTCAGTCCAGCAGATCTACCATCAAGCAAGCCGTTCTGCTCCAGTGCACCTCCAGCATCCTCTCCAAACCAGCATTCACAGGGCCAGGCAACCAGTCACCCTCCTGAAGACGAACAGAGCATACTGTTCAGAACGTCGAGTGTTTATCATCGGTTCTTTTCAGAACCACACACTCCATAAAAGAGATATTTTCTTGAAAATGGTGCAACCGCAAGCCTAACCTTATTTAGTACTTCCACCGAGCATAGCTTCAAGACTGATCTTTTAATAGTATTCATTAATGAATTAATCTATAATTAAAACAATATATTTGTAACTAAGTACCTCGGTTAGCATTTTCCAAGTCTTACATACCATGAGATATTGAAAACATTCCTCAATCCTTAACATTATGAGATTGTGATGGATTTCTTTGTGTATAGGGTTAATACTGTCCACTGTTTGTCACTGACACTGAACTTGGATACACAATGTTCTGTTCACCACTTTATTGTGACAAATGTGAGTAATCTCAATTCACCAGAGCTGATCAGCAATACCGATTCGACCGTTTGCACATGCCACATGCCCGGTCTCCGGAACAAGATCATTCTCACAATGTAACCAGGCCTCCAAATTTAAGTCGCACACTGCAAGAGTTCAATTTCCACAACTTTGCTGTACTGTAGTCCTGAAGACACTTTCTGGGTGGCCATGTTTATACAAACAAAGCACTTATGCGTTGTGTTATGAACAATCTAAACGATGCACCCAACAATCAAAGTCCAATAGCGATGGGAAACGGTCACATATACGAATATTCAATATAGGCAACGTTATGGTCGAGTTCGGGCCGCCTGTTTTTGACGCGGGTTTCTTGTTCTCGCGCTCGAACGGCGAACATGACTCAAGAACACTGTTCCCGGAACAGGATCACGCAACACCTCCTCGTCATGGTTTTAAAGGAACACACGGAACAACTCGTGAGATTTTGAGTTTTGCAAAATAAACATTAATTATTTTCCGTAATACAGAAATGAATGTTCCTGTTTATATAGAAAGAATTCAGCCCATCCAAGCATTAACTATCGAATAACGTAGCCTACATGGACGCCGCCATGTTGCATGTCACTAACTACCTGCGATAACCGGTCGTTTGTACCCGGCGTTCGAGCGGCCGACCTACGAACAACAAATCGAGCTGTTCGTGAACAGACGTGAACATGCCGCCCGAACTCGGCCTATGTGGGGATCAACAAGCAAAACAAGCGACATACAAAACCAAAATTGCTCCTCGATCTACACAACAATCAGAATCTCTAACATCTCAAGAGACGCCTTATTACCCAAATTGTGCCTTAAAACATTCGACAAATATCAAATATACCGAACTATGACAAGCAACACCTCAGGCTCAAAATGGCCTCTCCGCTAATATCTGAATGGCAAGACCTATGTTTAGAAAGGTCCGAAAAACAAGCGCCCCCAATTGGCCTGCACAGAAAGCAAACAAATTCATTTTTGTATCCGCAACAACGAAAACCCAATCGTACCGATGAAGTATAAATTTTCAACCTGACACTGATTCATTTTAACAAATTACTAATTCGTTTGATTAAACGAACATTAATTTGTTATTTCGAATTAGCAATTCATCATTAGGCCTACGAATCATTAATTCGTTAATTAAAACAAATTAGTAATTCGTTAAAACGAATTAGTGTCATCAGGCTGAAAGTGTGTACTTCAGTGGCACGATTGGGCTTTCGTACGCAACAAAGATCAAAAATGTGTATTGAAATGGCTGGTATTTTCAATCGAGTTTGTCTCGGAATGCCTGGTTTGGCAAGATTGTGAGGTTTTGTCTCTTCGTGAAAACACTGACGAGTTGTTGGCTGCTCAGTTTGTACTGTTATTTGTTCGTTTGGAGGTAATTTAGCAGTGTACGTACACTGATACTTTCAGTATAATGCATGCCATCTCTGGAAAGAAATTTGTTAAAAATAGAATGTGACCTGCAACTACGTACCATATTTTTCTATTTCCATAATTATTCATTTCTACATGTAGTAATAGTGATTGCAAGTTACGATTCTTTATAAGTCGCTAAAGTGATGCCTCATTATTTAGGAAAGTTCAGTGCGTGGACACTTTGAACTCCAATGCAGAATATTGACTGTTTTGAGAAATCCCATTTGCTGCCTGCACAACTATTCGAGTCCAGACTAAAGGTATTGCATGTGGTTCAATGACTCAGATTTCCAGAAACGGCTCAGGACAGCACCATATCCAGCTTCTCGTGTGGGGGGGGGGGGTTCAAAGCAAATGGAGCTTTAGGCTCATTCAACGTGATGTTGGGGGAGGAAAAATATTAAAAGCCATAGCCGGGGAACCCTTACTTGGGGTCTTGATGCTAATATTTGATAAATAAATATACCGATTTCTTTTTTACCTATGTGTGGAAACTTTCAACAAAATCCGTCAGAGGGGGCAGGTTTTCCCCTCCCCCTGGATGCAGCACTGGATCTTAACGGGAGAGGCAAATGTCACTTCTAATCATTTCAAAATGAGGAGAACTGTTGTCAAAAGTTTCTTCCCGCTGAGAGTGTTCAATAGTGTAGCGGTCCTCGTCGACGGAGCCTCGGGCTTGCCCTCGGCCGACCCAACGAGCGGCTGAAGAGGCGACCAGGGGGATAGGTCCGTTAGGAGGCAGTCTACCGCTAGGTGCCATAGCTATCTGGGAACACTGGCGGATCGGGCATTAGGCAGAATGGCGATGGGGCTTTTACCTATATGCTAGGCCTTCTGGGGGAAACTCTACCCCAGGGTCAACAGTGATACGTGCTGGTTTCTAGATTAGTCCGGTTTATATATTGATCAAAATGGTCTCCTATTCAGGTGATTCCTATGTAGGTGTATAATTTATGATTTACAACTGTCTGTAAGCACCGATACAATCCTGGCAATTAATTAATTACAGGGCTGCTAATTAGTGGTGGGGATGCTCAATTGAAACCACCAAAGTACTGCTTCACCCTAACGGACAGAAGAAGCTGACTTACACGTACAGCACTGTCCCCCGCGGACGATCTTCGTTAATAGAGCCCGAACTGCCCGTACTACGTCTTGCTAGTCAAAGAGTAGACCGCGAGCTGCCCGCACGTGGGCCTTTTATACCCACACGCCATCGCTCTAAATCGTGCAAAGGCGTCAAACCACCAGACTCATCAGCACAATTTATGCCGAACAATTGCAACATTAACTAAGGGGACACTCTATTCTCCCTATTTCGCTGCAATAGCTTTATAATCGATTGTAGGCATCCATTCTTTTCCTGAAGCTGAACAGCCAATGGATCATTCATTTTAACAGCTAGAAAATACGGTTTGTAATAAACTAGAGTACAGTAGGTAGAACAATTATTGCTGGAAAATATAAAGTCTCTAATCCTGAAATTAGCTGTTAATCACAGCTATATTTATAAGCTACAATGCTTTTCAGAAAACAATGCTTGCTACCTTGCAATGAAATCCAATGATCACATCACAGTACGCTTTGTCTTTTAATCACCCGTTCTGCTCTCAGTTTTTTCCAGTGTCACGGTGTTGTTCTGGGATTCCACCACAATCTTCCCACCTGTCGGTGGAATATCTCACATAGTAGAGGGCGAAGACCAATCCTTTCTCTGTCAGGTTGTTGACCTGCAACAAGGGGCATCTTTCAGGTGGACAGTGGACTACCAGGAAGTGACGCCGGACAGAAGCAGCAGCCTACGAGACAATAGCGGACTTTACACGAGCACAAGCGTTCTCACACTACCGGTAATTACGAGTGCACGGCACGGCAAGGTAGTACAATGCCACGCCCAACCAACAAACCAATATCCCTTAAGTACTGTGGCAACGATTTACGTCAAAGGTGAGTAGCTTTTCTTGAATTTTTCAGCTGTAATAGTTCCGTGTTGGATGCTCCAATTCAGCAAGAACTGCTGAGGGTGGTTGTAGCTAGTTAAAGGCGCGTCCAGTCAAGGTACTTCGATCAAACAATCATCTTGGCTTCGACCAATTCCACAAAAATTGCTCCAACTGTGAGCGCTTTTTACAGTGTGCATTTCAGTGAAAATCTCTTCTGTTTTTTTTTTCCCGGGCAGTTCCACCGAAGCAAAGCAATCTGTCACTGTATGACAGCGATGGCATCTTAGGTGTGAGTGTTAGCGTCGTGGAAGGTGCGCCAAAGGCATTCTTTTGCACAGTTAAGCTAACAAGACCGGCTGCTACCATCCAATGGCTCCTGAATGAAGCCAATCAAATGACCGACACCCCTCCCTCTGGAGGAAGTGACGGATTGATGGATACCACCAGCAGCTGGACGCTGGTACCCAGCCGAGCCAACCACGGGCAGAGGGTCAAGTGTGTGGCGAGTACACCCGAGTCAGAGAGTCCGTTACCGTCAGTGACGGTTACGCTGGATGTTGAAGGTACAGTTTATGTTTCCGTTTGAGTGGTTAGGATACGATCTGTCGAACCCCAACCCCCAAAATTATGAACTGAACAAGCCTAACCCGAAACTTCAAATACTAAACCCAAAGTTAACTTTTCATCACAGATTTAGCTTACAGGCTAAAGTAAAGCACCTGAACATGTACATGCACAAGCATACCACAGATTTAATACAGAGCCAGTCGTAAATGAGATCTAGCAGCATGTTTTTTTAAAAGAGAACCAGACACCAGTGTTGTAGTCGAGTACTTTCCGAGTACCAACGTTCTCCACAAAATACTGAACTGGGTAAGAGGAATAAAGGCAGAGTGCACAGGCATTTGATGGTAAATGTGCAAAGGTAAGATTACAAAATAAATGTCAGACTTAGACTCAGCCGAGTACTTTCCAAGTACTGTTGTCCTAAAAAGTTAATTTTAATCAAACAGTGATGGTCTGAAGTCATTATGTTGCTTTATAATCTTATCTTTATGCATGTACCATCAAATGCTGACGTAATTCTGCTTTGTTCCCTCCTAACTAGTTAAAATATTTGGAAAAGAACTTGGTTCTCAAAACGTACTCGACTACATCACTGCCAGACACAGCTCACAATAATAGCAGACCCACACACCAACCACACATACACTTGAATCGCATTCTCATCCTCACATTACTTGTACTTAATATCAAAATTTTAAAAACTTAACATAAATCTTATAACAATAAACAAAGGAAGCTGTTGGCAGACATTCAGAAACTGACATTAAACTGTCGAAGTCGTCAACTTGTGATTGTTGAGCTTATTTGTGTTACACAGCACACATTGCTAACCAACGATGCCCAACCTTCTTGTTGTCGATTGCACCATGGCTGAGACTTCAACCGAGATGGGGTTACTCGACCGGCCGTGTTGATGGATATACCATTTAGTGTCTTAACTGGATGCGACCATCTCAGCATTGGTCACCAGTTTTGCGTTTAATAATGTATGCCATCCCGGCTGAGCAATTGTCTTTGTGGCTATCCATTTTCCTTGTTATATGACCAAAGTCATGTAGAGGGCCCTTCCCAATATGTAACATGAAAAACCTTCATTTCGAGGGACAACCCGGAGCTAGAGGTATTTCTATTTCTAACATACGTCTTACTGTTTCCCGATGTGAACATTTAACATTTGGTCAAGAAAAGGTTCCGTATTTTCTACTTGCACTAGACATGACAAAACATTAGAAACAAAACAAAAAATAATAAAGATGACAGCAGAAATAAAAAACAAAGATAAAACAATAACATTACATTCTTTTTGTTACTGTGAGGTGTTCTTAAGTTCTATTTGTCGCGACCTTTTCTTGTTTTCAGGACCCCCTGACACTCCCTCTATAACAGGCAGCCAGGAGATGACTGAAAATGAACTAGCTCAGCTGGTATGCCAAGCCGACTTGGGCTATCCTAACGACTGGGGCCTGGTGTGGTCTACAGGCGGTTTACCTGCCCAGGGCTCGCTGACCACCGCTGTGACAACATCAGGAAACCGGTTCAAATTCACCAGCACGTTGAACTTCCAGCCAGCGAGAACAAACAACGGGGACATGATCACTTGTTCTGTGGCAAGGGGCTCTTTAACCCAAGGCCTTACGGAGACTTTTGGTCCCATCAATGTCAAATGTAAGATATCACGCTCCCCCCTCCTTAGAAGAGTAATTACCGGTGCTGAATGTCTTGTGTTGTTTCCGAAGTGCTGGCATTTGATCATTTTCCCCATTTGTTTTTGAAACAGCCGTTATTCCAATTTGATCTAAATATCTGCAGGTGAATGCACGTTGGCTTTGGGTCAGACTTATTTTGACGCAAGAAATGGGACGGAGAGCACCCCAACCTTTGTGTTGGTTATTGTTTGATTGGAAACTTAGGAATTCTTTTCAGACATCTTTGGGATGTATTAGGGTAACGATAGTCTGGAGTGTGTTTAGCGATTGAACATGTGGGGGATCCCTCCGTCCCACATCTTGCTGGGTATAGAGACTCTGGGAAAGAGAAAGCGTTGTTTACACAATGACACTTAATAAGATATATTGCTTTGTGGAGGGCTCTCCTCTTAATTAAGCCCATGAGCTTCAAGGTGCTCTGCAAATATGCTGCAGAATTAAAAATAAAACAGAAAGAATGCCGAAAGACATTGGGGAGAAATGGCGTCATTTTTAACATCCCTGGGCAAAATAAAATGCCTTGATTAAGAGCTAATGCAAAAAAAGAGAATGTAGTCATTAAAAAAGCACCTTTGTGCTCCATCCAATCCAAAGTAAATATTGTTATGGCAATTTTGACATGAATTTGGTGCCTATTGAGCTCTCTGCCAATGTAAATTCCTTTCCATAAAAAACAAACACTTTAGCTCTGGAAAACCAAGAAAAAATATCGAATGAGTGCACCTTTTAAGAAGACTGTCTTGAAATGATGCTATTACTTCGCAGCAAGTGGAAAGTTGTATGATTATGCTTTCAAATAAAATGTATACCAAAGTCCCTTTGAAAGTGTTTGATTAAATTTGACATGAACAATCTTTCTTTTCCACCTCGTATTCGAAACTCTAGACCCCCCATACTTTTCTGACCTGGAGACGCCAAGAACGGTCAGTGAGGGTGATGACGTCATGTTTACTTGCCGCGCAGATGCAAACCCCAAGCCCGCCAGATTCATCACTTGGGAAAAGGTGGGATCCCCAAACACCCTATCCTCAGTCTACAGCAATGGTTCAAGCAGCCTAGCACTGCTCAACATCAGCAGGGAGCAGGCTGGCCGGTACAGGTGCCGTGGGGACAATGGTGTCCCGCCCGTTGTGTATTCCAGTCAGATAAACGTCACCGTGCGATGTGAGTATCCGTAATACCTGCATGCAGCATGCCCAAACTCTGGACACCAATGCTGTCACTTGTTGTGCCTTTCCACATAACGGTGGCTGCAGGGGAAGATTTTACACCTCAGGGCTTCGCCGGAATGAGTTTGACTCTGAAACGTTGCATTAAATGTGCATGGGCAAATTGAACATTATATTTTCTTTCTATTTGAAAATAAGACATGCGGACCACCCGTAATGTTATGCGCCAATATGTCTCCTGTCCCACATTTGTAAGATAATTACGTCATTTTTTCATGGGAGGCGAGAGACAAATTAATGAAAGAGACGTCTTTGATAACAGATGAAAACGTATTGGTTTATCTGGTTTACATTGCATCATCAATTGGTCAGTTTGGTAGCATGTTCCTCATGCGTTCACACCGTCATCTTGCCCATGCGCACCACCTCCATGAAGTATCAAATTACGTGAAAAATGCCTTCTCACCTGATGTGCAGTTAAGCCCCGTCCACCTATGGACATCTTGATTCAACAAGGAGGTCTCACCTCGGACTCTCTGACGATCGCGTGGACGCCAACCAACGACGGAGGCGAGGAGCAGTGGTTCTACGTCAATCACCGTGAACTGGAGTCGACCGCCGACTTCGACCCCGCCACGAGAAGTATCAGGCTGTACAATGTGAGCATGTTCACAGTGGTGGGTCTGCATCCCGACACTGCGTACGAGGTTGAGGTGTACGCCGAGAACGCCAACGGAGTCAGTGGCGCAGTGAAAACAGTGGGGACCACTAAGCGTAAGTATTGTTTATTGCAAGCCAAAACGGGGTTTATTCACGACTGCATGAAAACTGTCAATGCATAAGATATATATACCATCACAAGCATGAATCGACTGAGAGATTACGACGGACGGTCACAGCGAGCCCAAACACTCATCAGTAAAAATAAACCCCAATTAACATGCAGTGGCGGCAGCGGGGGTTGTCAGATTTTAAGTTTCTAGCAAATTGATGATGGTGCCCTCTCTTGTTCATTTCTTTTCTGTTTCTTTCGCTCTATCCGTTTTTAACTATCATATTTCCCCGCGGGGGCAAGCAGTGCCCCAGACAGACTATGCTACTGTAGTTAGCTGCTTTCCTACGTTTAGGCCTAAGATACTGTTTGCGGTTATTACTTTATTTACCTACTTCGTGAGACAATTTAAACTCCGGTGAAACATTCATGCCAGTGACAGTTTCTCTAATCGCCCGAATTTCAAACTGGAAGAGACAGCTTCATATTTTTGTAGTCCAATATTTATTTCAGTTGTTTCACAGCAACGTCGAGCAGACACCTGCTAGCTTCCTGAATGAAAACAACTGTTGATCAAGAGTTGCTAGAAAGATGTCGAATTCCACAGAATAGAGAACAAAAAAGAATATTGAATGTTGAATTTTTTTGCCATCGATAGGGTCCTCTCTTGCACATTTGGGGTATATTGCTGGTATGTCTGTAGAAGCTTTGATTCTGCTCCTCAGCATCATAACAAACCTTGTCCTTTGCTGGAAATGGAGGATCACTACTAAGCAAGGTAAATTCGTTTGTTTTGCAAAGCTTATACGTTTTTGTTCTGTCACCACGCAGACAGTAGAATTGACAGGCTAATTTTCGTTTTCATAAGCCCCAATATTCGACCCTTTATTACTTTCGTTTTGTATTGCTTTGCATGCATCACTGAGTCTTTACGTTCTTGGATAAGATTTCTTATTGTTACGGCAGGCTAGGCATTACATGAATTTCCGTTTGTTTTTCTTCTTTTCCAGAAAAACAACAACGTGCCTCTGAAAGGTAACTGGTATAGCTAATCAGTCAATTTTTTTTATCGATCACGACATGGAACCAAAATCTTGAATGAACAGCACTGTTTCAAATATTTCCGTTCTCGGATCGGATTACTTGAGTTGGCATTCATAGTGAACTACCTGTTGAGAAAATCAGGACTGCAAGGTTTTCTTTTGGTCTATCAAAACGCAGGGAATTTGTGCGCAGTCGGACGAAAATTCCACTTAATGCAATTTGTATTGCAAAACAAACACAATGCATCCTTGTATGAGGCGCACTGGATGTGAGGCACATTGCACAAGCCGACTTTCCTGTAAGAGGTCAGTCACCTTGTACAAAATTTTACTCTTCGCAATCCCGTTCCTTTTAATAAGCAGGAGAGCAAAGACGGGAGCGTCACCCCGGGTAGTGGAAGTAACCGAGGACTACGAAATTATGAGTAAGTCGCCCGTACATCACACTGGAGGGGGAAAAGTGGTCTACAATGCTGTTGTAGTTCCCTTGTTTGGTCTTTAACCAACTCTGGCAAAGAAAAAAACAAAAACGGTTTTTGTCTATGCTCATCGTGCCCGTCGATTTTAAGTATGCGCGTCATTTTTTTCCTCTGCAAGAGCTGCTAAAGCCCCCTGTATATTGCTTCACGGCCTTAGCATTTTTTTGCAGGCACTCGATCTTCTGCTTAGGGGTGATAGATTTCGACAAGATCGATGTTGAACAATAATAGCAGACTTTGGATACGAAGTTGTTTGTTGTCAGCCTATGGCCGTGTCCGAAACGGGTTTCCAGAGCCACGGCTAGGTCTATCGTCTACGCATCTCCGGACCTTTCCAATAGAGGGAAGACCTAGACCTAGCTCTAGACAACCGATTTGGATGTAGCCTACAATATAATAAAGCAGGTCTAGTTCCAAGACTCGACAACGTGTGTCTGCAATTGTCTCTACAACCAACCCTGGAGGAGAAAAAAAGCCGCGTCGCTGCTTTTACGGGGCCTAAGAAAGAATAAAGTAATTTGACAGTTTGGGAAGTCACATCTAAGATACACCATTTTGTCTGATCTGGGGATTTTGATATTGACCTCATAAATTTGCGGAAGAAAAATATTCCAACGACTGCTCATTGCCAATACATGCTTCAAAGGCGCCATCATGGCCCAAAGGCGTGCATCAATTCACGGGGTGCTAAAAAACTATTCGGCTTTTTTTTTGCAGGTATACCTATGCGGACTATCCAAGCAAAAACTGCTGCAGTAGCCGAATCCACATACGACAACATCGCTGAGTCCCAGGTAACGATCTCCCGAGACCAGCTGACCTTCGTGCGAGAGCTCAGACAAGGCGCTTTCCGCAAGCTGCTGCTTGCTAAGGCCGAGGGCATCGAACTGCCTGGCGTTGCTACGCCAGTGGTGGTTAAAACCACACAAGGTAGAATGCAAAACTTTAACAAGTATTTTTTTAATGAATGAATTATTTATGAACCCTTATAGACCTACCAGATCAGTTCAGTTTGATCAGCTGTCCAGAGCTGGGGGCGGAATCTACCCCACCATCGATTTTCCCCCCTGATATTACTGCAGTGCACTTTTTTCCACCAGTCTAGCCTTGAGCTTTAGTAGGGACTCTTCGCAGTCATTTTGATAACAGTTATTCCAAAAATCGAATGAATCGTTCTCGTGCAGCGTGCATTATTTTTTGTCCGAGACGATTTCGCCAAAAATGTATACTTTTTCCACTGCGCTTCTCAATGCACACGTGCTGGCACCCATGCCTGAACTTCAGATGTCCTTCCACATGTCATTTTTACAGATGAGAACGATCCCAGTGAGAAAGAAAGCCTGATGCAGGAGTTGATGTCAATGAAAGCGCTTACCAGCCACGCTAATATTGCAAGGCTTCTCGGGTACTGCGTCGACAAAGGTAGCAGTCCTGGTTATATTACACTTTGATTATATCAGCACAGACATGGTTTTATACCCGTTAGACCGCCACCAATGTTTTAGGAAATTAGGTATCCTTAAAATCGAATCTGTTTCTAAGTTGTGCGGCTTCTCTTAAGCACGAATCCCTCGTTGCCTATTTTGTATTTTATATGTATAAATGTTCAGTAGAATAGCAACCGGAGTGTATAATCTATGATAATTAATGATCGCTCTTACTTGTCAAAGAGCCTTGGGTGATCAGCATGAGCAATCTGCCTAATGTTAAGAAACGGTGTGAATTTACAGTCAACTTCATATACCGTATTTTTTTCAAAGTTAACAGCTTCCCTTTTAAATGGCTATTTCTTGGGTTTTCTAGTGGCAAGGACGCGCACTTGACTCACGCTCTAGTATCATGAGAATCACAAATTGGAAGACAGGTGGGGCGTAACTTTATTAGGTTTTAGTATTAATCTAACGCAGATCCAGTATACGTAATCGTTGAAAATGTGGCACATGGGACGCTGAAGGAGCTCCTTACTGAGTACGCCGACCAGTCGGAGCAGGTGTATGATAACTTGGGGGGCGCTGCTAACATACCCCTCACTCCCAGGACTCTCCTCAGCATGGCCAAGGACGTGGCTGAAGGCATGGCTTTCCTGGCCTCAAACACGGTGAGATGCACCACACCACACCACACCGTCACCTCATCGCACTGCACCACACCACATTGAGCCATATTAAACCCGAAACAAACCACGAACTACATACTCCAATTCACATGACACTGCACAACAGAATGTGTACACATATGTGTACAATTTTCAGGTATATATATATAAATGTATATGTATAAATGTACGTATGAATTTCTTATTATTAAAAAAAAATTCAACGATACCCAGATTATTACTTTGCTTTCAGTTTGTACGTGACTTCAGCGATACTTTATCGTGCGTACATTTTATTCTAGTGTCTTCACAAAGATCTTGAATCTTGCAACGTTTTCGTTGGTGAAGAAATGGTCTGCAAACTCCTTGATTTCGGATATGCCAAGGATGTCGCGCATTTGAGAAAGCATCAACACCAAAACCAGGTGGGCAGTGTTAACCTCTTTCTACGCAACAATTTTCTGATTTATAATGCTATTTACACAATATGACCTCAGATTTCCATTTACGTGAAACTTGCACCAATCTTAGGCAAGCTGTAATCTATTGAAGATGTTACGCCCACACTGTAGCATTAGTTCCAACTATAGTTTGGCCCGTCCCAGCTACAGTTGGGCCCCTCCCAACCAGAGTGCTACAGTTGGGCCGGCCCAACTACAGCAGAGAGATCCTGTGTGAATTATGTGCCCAGTATGTGCCAAAGTCATACTGTTTACAAATGTCACGTCATTGGTCATAGGGCTAGATGAACAGATGAAATGCCACATTTAGATGAATTGTGTCAAGTGTAAGACACATTGACTTAGATAATGTTGAGACATTTTCCACAGACATTGGTCAACAATAGTTGGGCCAGCCCAACTGCAGCACTACAGTTGGGACTGTCCTATAGTTGGGACTTAAGCTACAGTTGGGGCGTAACATATATAACACTTTGGCAGTGTATATTGTAAGAGTAATACACTGCAGAATGTGTGCGCTGCAAATTCATCCGCCTAGAGCAGTGGCAGAATTTTCTGTAAATCACAGCATTTTATTTGTATTTAGGGTCTTGTCCCTTTGCGATGGATGGCGCTGGAGTCGGTCCTTGATGACGTATACACCACAAAGAGTGACGTGTGGTCTTTTGGGATTCTACTTTGGGAGATGATTACTCTTGGTATGAACACATACAAGACAAAATACCGTCCGGCCAAAACGTACAACTTCAAATTAAATCAATTCTCTTGTTTATTATGCAAAATCAGTGACAATGAAAAGACATATAACATTTACATAAGTGATGACATTTCAAGTTCTATTAGTATTCTCTGGTCGTCTTGTGAACAATTTCGCCAAACATATTGCACAACCAAGGCTCTCCTTTCATAACCGTTTACAGGTGCCCGACCATACCCTGCCCTGAATGCTAAGAAAGTGGTTACCAAGGTGAAGTCAGGGTACCGGATGCCCCATCCCAGCCACTGTCACGTGCAACTGTGAGTTCCTTTAACAGAATCAAATTCATAAGACTGTAACGAGGTTGACGCAACAACGGTGCAGTGACCATGCTGACACCTAAGAGGAGACCAATTTTAGCATGGATCTTTGTTACAGATTCTATTTATGATTCAGAGCCACACGATGATTCTAGTTATTATTTTCGTTAGAAATGGGCGATGATGAAGTCTGCAATGCTTCAGTCAACAGCTGTGCTGTAGGGAAAATTATATTTCGTTAGAAACAAATTAAAAACACAATTTGTTTTAAAAGATGACCTAACTTTTTGTTGTGTTTTGATATTACCATTTGTACTCCACCGCTTTTAATCTGTAATTTCCAGGCCAAAAATAGAGTGTCTAGTTTAAAGTTATTTTCCCTATTCAAAATTACCATGAAATAAATTTTCACAAAACGTATCCGTTATCCATATCTTTTACAGTCCCCATGCAAATTTATCCACATATCCACAAAGAGAAACTCACCCACGTTTTAACATTGAAACATTTGCTCCTGGGCCACCAATCTATTTTGTCCTTGTGTCAGTAAAATTTAAATTGCTGTATGCCCCTTCTCTCAAGAAGATTTCGTTCAACCTGTTTCAGGTATCAATTGATGCTGGAATGCTGGGCTAAGAATCCCGAAGCTCGACCGACCTTCGCGACCGTCAGTGAGACACTCGAAGGGCTAATGGGGAAAGCCAACGTGAGTAAGCGGTGAAGATTTTCTCTTCAATGATGGCACGCACTGCCCTTGAATATTATGAAATTGAACCGGCTTCTAATGGGCATTGCTGGCTCTTGCACTCTTAGTTTGACCGGTGTCTTTTTTGAACATCCATAAGCTTTGCCTGGTAGCGCAGAAATACGCCACCCCTTGAGCAGGAACATCCTTTACTATTTGAAAAGAGCCATGTTGGTGCGGAGTATTAATTTTGTTAGTAGAAACGCAACCGTCACGCCAATTTTTCAGAGTCGTTTATTAACAGCGAGGTGCCGTCGTTATACTAAAGGAGCTTGCATTGCTATAAAAATAACGCCCTCTCTTGTATACAATATGCCAGTCAGGTAGCGAAAGGTCCTTTCGCCTTTCACAAACCGATTGGCCTTCTTAGCTCCAACTCTCACCTTTTTGATCAAATGCGAGAAAACGATTCCTATCGAGGAGTTTCACGTTTATTTTGTTTATTTTGCCTGCCTCATCCCCTTTCAATAATCTCCCTTTTTCAATTTGAATACGATTAATATATTTTACTTCACAATATATTGATGAAAGCAGTCATCACACCACTCCTGATTAACGTAGTATTCGTTTAACCTGATCCATTACCACTTTCAGAGAATAGGATACTTGTTCCTTGAATGAACATTCGATTGAAGTTTAACCGTAACAATCGTCAGAAAGAATAACATGACTGATCTATTACTTCATTTACTTTTTGTCAGCCCCCATGGTTTCAACATGTCATTTTCAAATGTTTTTAATTTGTCATCTCGCACTTACGGTTGCCTCCCCCTTTAACTCCAGGAGTACATAGCTTTTGAGTCCTACCAGGCACACCTCTTCAAGACGGCGGTCTCAGGTGGTTCAGACTATGAAAAGATATAAGTCCACACTAGAGTGTGAAATTCTACCATTGATATTGAAATACATTTTGTAATGTGTATGCGTTTAATGACCTGGACATTAAGAATCTTGCAAGTTTACCGGAAGCTACAGGCTGCTAAAAAATAGTAATAATAAATTTCGCTTACATTTCATTTTCTGAGATAAACAATTAATAATTTATAGATAGAATATACTCGGCAAATAAAAACAGTGTTCTTCAAAGCAGCTTTTTTTCAAAAGAGAATGCAACCAAAACACACCCATAATACAGCTAAAGAATAGGCTGAAAGTCTGATGTTGGATATTTTCTTTAAACAAATCATATGTTGGAGGAGAGGGGGTTGCGAAGGACTTGTCTAAGCAGTGTGCATTTATGTATGATTCATTTTTGGTTGATTGAAGTGCATTCATAGGCGCGCCTTGAAAACCTTTTTTATGTATTTCATGGTGCGATGTAATTATGACAGGATAGTATACAATATTGATTTTGTAGTCTTTTGTTGTATTTTAATTCTTTCTTCATTTTATTATGACAAAGAGAATCGATCTGTTAAACTCCTATCAGATTATGAGGAAGTAGCTTTGAAGAAAACAGATTCAAGTGCAGAAGTTACATTCTGAATCCTGTACGGCCATTTGAGTATACCTTTTCATGTAAAGTAAGCCTTTATAGGCTTTCCTAAAAGCTACACTGGTGGTCTGTAAATCATAGCCACAGTTTGGCAAGGATTACTGTCAACTCAGCTTACGAAAAAAGTGGAATGATCCACTCTCCTATCCTAACGAATTTGGTGTTGCTATCCAGAGAAATTTATCCAGTCTTTTGTGTCATGTCTGTGAATTATGACACACAGGATTCTTAGTTTTGTTTCTGCTTTTTCTATTACTGTTTTTAAGAATACACGCAGTTATCTTCCTCTATTAAAATTTGTTATTTGGCCAAAATGTTTTAATCAGAATTTGGATAGATGTTGTTGAAACTTACAGTAAAGTTGTTTGAGTCGTAGATGAATCCAGATGACAGCGGTGAGCGTCTGACATACATGTAATCAATGTTATTGCGTTGTAGGCGGTATGCTTGCATGTGAGAATACAAATTCAGCTTAAAGAAAGTAGTTTAAGCTATAGAAACGACCATGCCATCGTAAGTAAGAAAAAGAATTTGAATTAGATTTATACGTTTGGTATTAAATAGTGTTTCAGTTTGTATGTTGTATCTTCTTCATTGATTCAGGGACAAAAGTTCAAATGCTTTATTCATCGAACTTCCACATTGTTCACCTCGACCAGAATTATTTTGCAAAATGTGTTTTGATACAACTGACAAAAGGCACAAAGTTTCGCGGTTCTACTTTCTTAGACAAAGATTCCGTAAATGTGCTATTCAAGTTTCTAAGAGAATCAAGATGGAAATTTGTTAATTGAATAATTTAATGACTTGAAGATATAAACTAGTAATTCAACATCCTGTCAGGGGAATGAAATCTACAATAATTCTACAAAAAATCGAGGAAGGGATTGGAATATTATTTCACAGAATAATTGTTGTTTTGTAGAAAGTGCTGTAGGTAGCTGCTTGTTATTTTGTTGTGAAATTAGACACCAAACGATTGCACTGTTTTGTAATATTAATCCAACTAATCCGTGCCTTCGTATTGTGTTGCACAGTTGGCTTCCTTCTGCGATACTCAAATTTACAAATAGTTCTAACAGGGAAGACAAACAAGATATCATCCGGATGTAACAGCAGAAGGCATGGTCCTCTGCCAAACACTTTCCTCGAGGTGCTCTCTGTTTTGTTTTGGTTTTTATCTTTCTTTTTTGGTTCATATAGTTGATTATTTTCAGCCTTCTTAGTATCCACCAAAAAACAAAGGCATTTAATGCATAATGTTCAATCAAGATATTCTGAAACTCTGTTTATATTTATAAAAACCCAGCAAAGCATTATGCAATATAAGTATTTCTTCCCTGTGTTGACATTTCTAAATGTCGGTTGGCAATTGCCAAAAGGAACTTGTTAACAGCGTCCTTCCTGAGGAAATTTTGTGATTGGAAAATCAGGCTCTCGCTCTTAGCATTTCCAAAGACCATCAAAATAACCATGAACGTCGCAAAGGGTAAGGGGAACCTAGATGTAAAAAAATGAACTACAAAATAGGACAAAAACGAACGAAATTATAAAAAGGGACAGAGAGTATAAAAATAAAACGACGTTTTTGAAAAAACCTAAAAACTGACTCCCTCCCTTTATCATGATTTCGCTGATAATCACTTTACGACTTTTAGGAAGTATGTATAAATCAGTTCATTTTCCATACGGGTTCACTGTCTCCGCCATCTCTTCTTACTGGTTGAGTCTTAATGTTTTCAAGTATGTAAAAATGTTTAGGGGTCCTCCACGGCCCTGTCAAAACGTTTCAATCTATCTACGCCAGCCCCGGATCCGTGCTCAGAAGACAAAAACTACACAAAAGAGTAGAGCACCGCCTGTAACACTAGAACATGTACATTCGCTGTTGGGCCTAAGAGCTCAGTTGGGGATCCTGCACACAGATTGTACATACAGTTATCCAAATACGAGAAATATCAATTCCCCTTACGATTTCCTTCCGTCACCAATTCTCAACTTTTGCGAGTGCACTCGGTCGATAAGAATGACCCTGGAAATACCATCTTGGATGGGACTTCAGTTTAAGGCCGTATTCAGGGCTAAGGCTAGGTATATTGGCTGCCCGTCTCCACGTGTTTGCAATGAAGGGAAGACCCAGACGGAACTCAAGACAACAGATTCGGATGCAGCCTTATAAAACCGATGCCTTTGTGTTTCTCAAGATCTCAACGCTCCGGCGCAGACAGGACAAGTCAATGGTCAGGTCACAGTATTCTACCAATATCCGGTGTCACGACATGGCAAATTTGGGGTCGGGGTAATAGACTTAGCCGACTATCCTTCGTCATTTTTATAATCACTGATGAATCTTTAGCAGCCTTATTTTATTCAAATTAGAGAATTTAAATAAATTTAATAAATCTGCAAGTTGGTATTGTCAATCCTGATTAGCGCAATTGCTGACTTTAGCATCAGACCCTTGACAGCTGGTGCAGACTTGAACAAAAGTGCAGCAGGGGGAGGAGGAACAGGTGATGCCCCCGCCCAACCCCCAGGCCCCCCCATGAAAGAGTACAATCTCATTCTTTCCTCTGTTAATTTTATCTGTTTTTCTGATTTGTTCTCTTAGTAATCTTTTTGTATATAATTTTTATACAAACGTTTACATTTAGTTGTTCTGTTTATTTTAGTCGGGAAGTGGTTTAAGATGGACTGTACGGTCTCTACCACAACCCTTGACATTGTCAGAAATAAAAATATATATATAATTATTACGAGTTGCTATTGATCTCAAATGCAATAAAGACAGACCGAAAGAGGGAAGACTTTTTTTCTTTTCTGTTTTTTTTTTGGTCTACGTTTCATTAACTGTCCTCCAATAACGTGTGTAAAACCCAAAAGCCATTAAAGCTTTCATAAAAATCCACTTTTGTACCCCCAAGAATATTAAATAACCCCTACCCCTGAAACAAGTCTAGCTCCTGCTCCCCCTAAAAATTTGATTTAAGATCTGTCCTCGGGCGGACACAAGCTCACTGTCAAGACGCAGTGTATTTTTTCCGTGTACAATGTCTCGGTTTCAACTATAACAGAAAGATTGTGTACACACTGTGCTGCCAATCAATGGACATTTCCTGAATCAAACATGCTTGCATGTTTTAGGTTTTTCATTCCGTTCATGCCGCAAATATGCGATAAAAGCTAAAATCATCAAAGGTACTTATGGAGGCTGTCCAGCATCGACTCAATTCATTCCCTGTCAGGTCAAGTGCTGTTGCAAATTGCCAGGCAATTCGGACACAACCTAACTGTGATAAGAAAGGAAGCTTCCGAAAACCGGGTCACGTGATTGAGCTGTTGCTCATTTCCTGCAAAGTGCAAAGACTACACTCCTCGAGGAAAGGTTGATATAAAAGTTTTTTTGAGGAATAGCGACGCAGTTTTAGTCTACCCTACTCATAACGGGATGGAAGCGCCGAATCGACTGCGCTGCATCTTGCTTTTTTTAATACCGCTATGGTGGATTCAAGGTAAGATGACATAATTTTCGATTTTTAATATTTAACCATTTCAAATACGACGGGATTGGCACTTTAGCCAAAGAATACCACAGCTGTTTCCGAGAGAGAAAATTGGTAGTGATAGGGAAAATGAAGGGAACGTGTATAAGGAGGTAACAGACGTGGGTTTCCTTCGACTACCGGAGTCTGTGTTCCTTGTTATTCTTTATTAACTGTGTCTGTTACTCAGATTTATAACGATCACACAAAGGTTTAGCTAAACTCTGTACTGTTTCCTGAAAAGGTCAGATGTAAAATAAAACGTTGGATGGAAATATACTTTGGCTTTTTTTTTCTTTTTGGTTTGTGAATATGCCCTTATGAGGGTAAGGTTACATTTGAGGGCTTTTATGCACGCCTGCCGAAAGAAGGGGAAAGGAATAAGATCCCCAAATCGCTTTTTGTCAATATTTAAATAGAATGCTCCTTTGGGGGTCTCATTGCCCTTTTCAGCTCCCCCCCTGTATCGGCCCTTGGGTGCATTCGGCGGCATCAATGCGCACACACTAGTCAGTGAAATGCATTTTTAAAAAATCCCATTGAAAACTAAAACGCGGAGTTCAGAGCCTTTATTGGACACATTGCTATTTGTGGATGAATACCAGCTTTTTCGGATAAGGAATAATGCTGGTGTACCTAACGTATTTCATGACGAAGAGAAACCATGGAGCGACATTCAATCATTTGTCACTGTAGACAGCTTTGCTCCCCTGTATTCGATTTATCAACAAAGATGAATACATGATGGGCCTAAACACAGATCGAGCCTATTGCAAAACTGTCACTATATATACAGTTGGGATTTCCCAGGCCCTAGTTCCATTTCCTGGTGTGTGTGAAATGTTCGCGCAAAACCGGACATCAGTTGCTTCCTACACTGAATGAAGTAAACACAAAACATCAGCTTCATTCAACATTTACCTGCATTGCTCTTGTTGTACTTCAGAATCGGTGGAGCGAAAGTAAACGGTGGTTCAAAGATAAAAAGCCACGTCAGTGTCTTCAACTCAGAACGTGAAAATCAAACTATATGAGACCCATCTCTCGGGTACTTAAACTTGCAAGAGTCCAGACTGTTTTTCTGTGTATAGAATCTGGCCTCCCGTGAGGTTTTCACTTCTCTTTGCAATCAGTCTGCTGCCATAATGTCAACGGGTCCGTATTTTATACAGAATTGAAATTCCTGAGCACACCTACAGACAAAATGAAAGTGGTGCAACAGTGTTTTACACAATAATAGAAGAGTTTATTTGCTTTTGTTTTTACAATTTTCCCTCTCCCATGCATCTCACCCCCCATGCGCCGTTTTGCCGCGCCCATGCCCAGGGAACAGACCTGATTAATGATAGACAGCCTATCAGGATTACCATTCCAATTAAACACAACGTATACCCAGCAAGAAATGAGACCGAGGGGTACCCCCCAACATGTCCAATCACTATACACATTCCAGACTATTGTTACTTAACACACACCCCCAAGATGTCTGAAAGGAATTCCCCAGATTCCTGCGAGACAATGACCAACACAAAGCAGGGGGGGTTCTCTCCGTCTCATACCTTGCTGCATATGACACAACGTTGTTCCATTCCTAACAACCTGCAGTACGTGTCTAACACAAAAAGCCCTGTCCCAATACATACTGATATGACAAGGAGGCCAGATCCCTTCGTTAGACGCAGAGCTGATGAAGAGGGGGAGACGCGGATTTCAAACGAAAACAGAATGACCGTTTATTGTGTCTAAAGTAGAGCGCTACACTAGAGCGTGCGGCTAGTGTACTATCCATGTACATTGATGCATATTCTGCCAGTTTGTTTCCAGCAATTGTAACACTCACGTTCTCTCTAGACTCTCTGTACACGGCTCTGGTCATAGGTGTAAATCCCGAGAGGATGGGAGGTATGTATTCCCCGACACATTTCGAGGGGGGGGGACACTGGCTATTGAATCATCCTCCACTTTTTGTGGTGAGCAAAAAAGAAAAGTGGATTGTGAAGAATTTGTCAGACTACCAAACGGCCTAGATGCAATCAATATCACTCAAAAGGGGGAACCAATTTCAAAAATCCACAAATATGCCATTTTGAATACATATTACAGGTATACATTAATTTCATGAGCATCGACCTCTATATAGAGTCCTATTGCGCCCTCCCTTCAAATTGTCATCCCATCCCCACCTTTCTCCTTCCCCCATTCTCCATCCCCCCACTTTCCGGCACAAATTTACACCACTGGCACCGGTTCAATGCAGAGTCATCGGGGACCTACATTTCGCCTGGTAGTCACACCAGAATATCCTCCCCGGGCTTTCCGGGATACTGGGACTACGCCAGCGCAAGCTGGACTGTCTCCACGACCAGCAACTGGCGGATACGAATCAGCTTCTCCGAGTTTCAAACCGAGTCGAGCTACGATCCCCTCCGGATAGTTGACTCTGCCAGCGGCCAAGACTGGAGCTTCAGTGGGTCCTCGCTTCCGGGCGACGTGATATCCACTGGCAGCTCCATGCATCTGACGTTTACGTCTGATGGTAGCGTGACAGCTAGGGGCTTCATCTTGTATGCTTACAGCATTCCAATGCCTAGTAAGTAAATGTGATGTTGCTAGTCAACCAGCGCCCACGTAGCGTGCCGAGAAGGGCAAATCCTGTCGTTGCTTTTGTCAAGCACTCATTGGGCATGTTTATTGGAACAATAAGCGTTTAGAGTTCTTCCTTGCGTCTTGCGCGTCACCTGGCAGTTACGCTCTGCAAATCCATATGCTTATTACAGCAGCAAGTAACTCATGATGCTTTGCGTGTCAATAGCTATCATTTATAACCCTTGCCGAAAATTTGTGAAGCATGTTTGCCCGTACTAGCAACCTCTTTGTGCGCTGGGTGAAGAGCAAAAATGTTATTATTTTTCACAGGATTATCTCCAAAAGGTCGCACGAACAATGTTACAGTTAAAACTTTCAATGAACTAAAAATAAACATTTTACCAGATACTTGTTCCAAAATACAAATGGTCAAAGTGGTTGTTCGTTTGGTGGTTGAATAGATGGTGTGGTTTGTGTTCTTGGCTTGTTGTTGTGGTTATTGTCTTCTTTTTTCCATCATTCTGATTTCCTTTGTTCTCTATAAATATTATTGTTCAGCTGCACCGACGACCTCGTCTCTCTCCCTTCGCGATGCAAGTGGAACTCGACTACACGGCACTGAGAGTTTGCTCGAGGGGGTGCCGTTCACCTTCACATGTGACGTCCAGGACACCAGCCCCGCTGTAACCATCCGCTGGTACCTCGACGGCGCCCTGCAGGACACTGCGGCTGCGCCCAGCGGAGGAGAGTACAGCCTGGTGGACACCAGCGACAGCTGGACTCTCACTCCTGGTCGTGACGACCACGACCGAGAGGTGAAGTGCGAAGCGAGCAATACAGAGTCTCAGCAGCCTTACCCATTTGTGAGGGTCACGCTCAATGTCATTGGTATGTCACCTGAACCAAGAGACCTTCCCATCAATAGATCACATAAGGTTTACGCATACGCAAAATAGTCTTACCGGCCAAAGTGTGACCGAACGACTGACCGAATCATTTTTTACCACAAGAGCCTAATGAGAGAGAAACTTTTTGATTCCTCATTTCGTGCATCACAAAACCTTCATAAACCAAAGAATTGTAGCTATGACGACATGACAGCGTTTGCTGGAAAGAAAAGAGAAAAAAAACCTCTGAGAATCTTTGAGGAAATGACCACAAAGTTAACCTCTCGTGCATTTACAACGTGTCTCTCATGCTTTTTGAAAGCATGGCCATTCATTCGGATGCGTGCATTATTTGAAATGAATGAGCGAAAAGTCCCTTCGCCCCCCACCATTAAGGCAACGGTAAGGGTGTAATTTTTGGCAAGCACTGATTGGACAGAGTTCATTCGAATAATAACAAAAATAACCTGTAGAAGGAACACTTTAGTCAACGGTCAAATAAATTCAAGAGGCAGTTGGCACGGTTGGGAATTAGACAGTATCATTCTTTTCGTTTTAT